GAGAGCTTGACTGAAGAAAGGTCAGTTTCTCAAGTGGCTGCTTGAGGTAATAAATGGTAAATAATATTTATTTTTGTATTTGGCATGCTTATTATTTTTCCTCTGTCCTCACTGGTGGGGAGTAACCCTTAGACAGATATTGAAAGGAACAACTTTTGTTAAAATTATTACTGCAAGGTTTCACTTGATACTGTCATATTTTTATGTCTTATGCAAATAACACATATAAAATAATAATAATAAAATAATAACACTTCATTATTCCATATTAAAAACACAATGAATAATTTCTGGAAAAAGTATGATAATTAGTTCGTGTTGATCAATTAAGGAAATCCATGTAAAGGAATATTGGAAATGCAATTAAGGAAATCCCACTGATTTTAGCATAAAAGAGATAAATACTAGGGTGGATCAAAGTGGCAGCACACTAGTGAACATTATGGTTAAGTTTCTCTTTTTTTCAACTTTTGGATTTTGTGTGCTATAAACTGAATTGCTTCCCTCCCCAAATTTGCATGCTGCAACCCCAGTCACCCACATGGGATTACATTTGGAGATAGGTCTTTAGAGATAATTCAGTTTAGGTGAGGTCATGAGGGTGGAGTCCTCATGATGAGAATTGTGCACTTATAAAAAGAGACACCAGAATGCTTGCTTTATCTTCAGAACTTCAAATTCCTTTTGTTTAAGCCACACAGTCTATGGTATTTTGTTATGGCAGCCTGAGCTAACAGACACTGTGTATGTATTTTCTCAAGTGTTATATGGATTTAGAAGTTCTCAGAATTATTTTGCATATGTAATGGGCTATACTTTTAATCTTCTAAATCATAAAATTATTTATATTATTCATTAATTTTTATTATCAATGATACCCGAAGAGGCCTTAATTTCTTAGGCCCTTTCACTTTTATTATCTGCATCAGCAATTTGTTATTTAGGGCCATTTCGGAGGAATCCTCCCTCTTTAAAAATAAATTCTTTGCCATTTGTCAACACTTGCTGCCTATGTATCCAGTGGAGAAAGGTCTGTGAAGATGCAAATGCTGAGTGGTTGGTAGCCACCCTCACCAGAAATTGTTCACTCCAGGCAACTTCTTAGATCAACAGTCCTGACATAGTCACTTAGTATCACAGGTGTCTCAAATTTAACATGTCCAATATTCTTAATTTGGCACTATCCCAAACAGCTCTTCCTCCAGTCTTCACCATGTCATTGAAGGGTAAATCCAAAATACCAGGAAATCCTGCTGGCTATACCTTAAAAACAGAATAATAATCTCACTACTTCTTACCATCTCAACTGCTATACCCTAGTAAGTCACTATCATCTCTAGATTACCAACAGATTGCTAACAGATCTTGTTTCTACACTAACCCCCTTCTGTCTATTGTCAACACAGCTGAAAGAATGAGCCGTCCTAAATCGTATCATGTTCCACTTAGGTTCCAAACTCTTCAGTGGCTCTGTATCACATCCACAGTATAAAAGAAAGTACTTACAACCGTCTGTAAAGCCCTGCATGATCTGCTCCAATGTCCCTGCTCTGCAACCACTCCTGCTGCTCTCCCTCTTGCTCAAACTATTCTGGGCTCACTGGTTTCCTTGCTATTCTTCAAATAGGTCAAGCAGGCTTTTGCTTCAGGACCCTAAGTCTAGTTCTTTGTGGAAATCTCTTCCTATAGATACTTACAAAGTGTCTAACTCATTCATGAACTCTAACTTTTTGCTCAAATCTTGCCTTTTCAATAAGGTTATCCAATTACTCAATTTAGAGCTAGAACCTAGTCTATCATCTCCCTACCCTTAACCTTGACTTAGGTTTCCTTATTTTTCAATAGCATTTATCATCTTCTCACATGGTTTATAATTGACTTATTCATTATTTTTACTTACTATTATCTGTTCTACCTGCTAGAATGTAAGCTCCAGAAAAGCAAGGACATTCTTCCCCTCTTATTGATGTATGTTTTCCACATCTAAAGTGGTGTTACATCATATATGTTCAGTAAATAATTGTTGAATAAATGAATTATTCTATCTAAATGAAATTTCTTAGTGATTTAAAATAAATTCCATTAATGTTGATTTTCATTAGTTGGTATTTCTTATTTATTACATATATATGATTTATATGAGAAAAGTAGGCTCTGGCTTTGTGACTTAAATTTGCTGAGGAGCTGTGACTCTTGTCTCTTTCTCATTTATATAGTGGAAAAGAGAAAATGAGGTAGTAACAGATAGGAAAAAGAACTGCAATTAATTTATTGTTTGTATTTTACTGGTAAATGCGCCAGTTAATTGAATATCTAAACTTATGATAAGACCAATGCCATCAAGATTCAGAAGAAATTCCATAGTTAGACATAATCCTATAAGCTTTATGGTCACCAGAAAGCATGTATCCTGTGTAAGAGAAGTAATTAAATTGGCTAATCTTGGTCAAAACAATGCATTTCCTTGACTATTTCTCTAGTTATATTTTTCACTGTCATTTAAAAACTTTTAAAGCCTTTTTTTTTCTTTTTTGATGTGAATACTTTTATTATATTCTGAAATACAGTACTATGGTTGGGGGGTGGAAAGGAAAGGGAACATAAAATATTTAAGAGACCACATTCTGCAGCTGAACTCTCAGCTTTGTTAGTCACTATGCAACTGCAGTAGTGGGTAAATGAAATACAGTTCTCCACCTTACTTTTCCCATCTGTGAAAAGGGAATAATAGCACATACCTAATTGAGTTGTTTTGAGAAATAATACTTCACAACACACAGTGCCTGGTACACAGTATTCACTCTATAATTATTTTTATAAAATAAAGAGGATTGTATTAAAAGAAAATATTTAAAAAGCAATTTTTATTATATATGACATTTTTGTAAAATACTATTGTTCATAGTATTAACTTGACTCATGGAGACAAATTAACATCAATATTATTAAAAATAACTCTACAGGATTATTTGAATTTTTATACTAGAAAATTTATAATTTGAAACACTAGCTTTAGGGAGAGGGATGCTCTGTTGTTCAAAGTCCTCCTCTGCATCTTCATGGTAGGAACTTTCTTTGGTAGCCCTTTCTCTAAGTTAAGAATCAGGAACTGTGAAGGATCTGATATTTTACCCTATTTGTAAACAAACAAGTAGAGTGCCACAGTTTCATAGAAGGTGGCAGAATGCATGAGATTCCTGAGTCAGATACAAGAACTTCATTATTTCAAGGACAATAGGCAGCATGAGCTTCATATTTCCATAGATTCCTTTCACTCCAAAGTTCCACAGAGCGAAGAGAAGCTGCTACATGGGTGCTGTACATGTTTTGGGTTTGTTATCCAACTGGAAGAACTCCATGCTTAGGAAAGTCCTAAGAAGGCTGCTAGCAAACCTACCCAAACTTTGCCCTGGCAGGAAATACTATCTTTGAAATTAAATGTGCAGAAAGGCAAGAAACCCATGGGGACTTAAATCCCAACTACACAAATGCAGTTGCATCAATAAGGCTATTTTCATCAAAAGGAGATGCACAAAAATTTTGACCATAGCTAGACTAATATTGTAAATGCAAACACTCAATCCTTTCTAAGCATTTCTTTGAATATGTAATCATTTGGAATAAAATTTTGCAATGCTTTGTTCTTTCTTGTGCTTTGTCACTTGATACCTTCATAAGCCATGCCATTTTCCCCTCTTATCAAGTAGGTTTTACTCTTCCCATCTATATATTTATGCCAATAATTTAACCTTAGTGGCTTAAGTATTTCTTACAAAATTGAAGAAACTTACACTTTCCCAAGAGTGGCTTCCACATCAGCAATCTTCCTTTCTCTCCGCCTTTTCCTCTGAGAATTGTTTCACAAGGTCTAACATCCTCCTCTGTAGCATAGCAAACCTACCCAAACTTTGCCCCAGCAGGAAATACTATATTTGAAATTAAATGTGGAGAAAGGCAAGAAACCCATGGGGACTTAACTCCCAACTACACAAATGCAGTTGCACCAATAAGGCCATTTTCTATTTTTCAAATAGATACTCAGCTCTGCAAGGCTGATTTCCTTTGCAAATAGTTAACACTTTTTTTTTGACAGCCTTATTTTTAAGAAACATGTTAGCCCTTCTCTTGTTCTTCAGAGATAACTCAAAATAATATCATTTGATCTTTTTATTTGGTTTTATTTCTACAGCTTCCCTGTCCTTTTTAAGTCAGAGCTACAAAATTCATTTGAGTTCCAGAGACAAATCAGATTTGTCCATTGCTATTACTTAATAAGCCAAAGTAATTGAACATTTAACAAGAGTTTGCCCAAAGGTTGATTGAGATTATGTGCCAGACACCTTCTATATTATCAGTGTATAAACAGCAAATAACTTTTTAGTATATATTCATGTCCAGTGCAATATTTGGGACACACACTAAAAAAAATTAATTGGAAATCAAATTTAACTATATATCCTGTATTTTTTTTTTAATTTGCCAAATCTCACAATTCAGGTGACCATTTATCTACCAAACAAAATCAATAACTTGTTCGTATAATGTGGCCTCAAGTGGGTTTTGGCACAGAAGCACTCCTCTTAGAGCACAGGTGTGGTACTGGTTGCAAAGTTTTGACGTGACATCAACACTATACAAAAGTAAATGTAACTGCAAATTTTGAAATTTACAGATGGGTCTTTGAAGTCCAGCTCAAAAGAGTGGAGGAATAAGTTAAAATAAGTCACAGACCTGCCGGTTTGGGGTTTCCAGAAAGAAAAGTAACTTGGGGAGTTGAAGGCTTGGAGACCTTTCCAAAGAGAGTGGGAAGTTAACAAAAGGCTTCTTAGCAAGTTAGAAGTAGAGCGCCTGAGAACCTGAGCGAGCCAATAAGCAGGGACTGGCTGGGCTCCCGACGGGAGTAGCCAATCAGGGTAGAGATGGGTGAGGCTAGGCTGAGGGAAGGGGCGGACTACAGCAGAGTTGGCTCCAAAGTGCGGGACTCAGCCAATCGGAACCGGGCGGGGGTGGGGCTGGACTGCGGAAGGGGGCGGGTTCGGAGGAGTGAACTGTGCAGTTAGTGCGTCTTTCAGCCTCACCTGTAGCTGCCCCTCCCTGCACCTTCACCTTTGCTTTTCTCCCTGCACAGACAGCGTCGCTGACTCGGAGTGTGACGCTCGCTGCTCGTCATGGCCTACCCGGGATACGGAGGAGAGGTGAGTCCCAGCCGCTTGGTCGTGTCTCTCTCCCTCGCGGGATGTGGCGTCCCCGGAGGCGGTGCCAGCGTGCGGGTCCGCCCGTGGCTCCTGCTCGCGGCGTCCGTGCCTGGTATTCAGCAATGCCCGTACTCAGGGGATGTTGGGAACCAGGGTCGGGGCGAGCGTTGACCCTGGGATGACTTGGAGCTCAGGCGTTCTTGAGGTCCCTCGAGGAGCATCCTGGTGGAGCCGAGGGAGTAACGTGTGTTTGGAAATTTATTTCCTGGAATGTAGGAACAAGCCGCCCTCTTTTTGTTCCAGTAATAATCGGTGGTACATCAGTCCCCCGCCCCCCACTCAATGTTGCTAGAGATCCTCTTTCTGAATTTCTTAACCACTTCTTGTTCTTTAAGTTCCTTATGAATAAATTAAGGTGTATGGTAAATGACTCCTAGTCTTTACTGTTATTCGAATGGCAATCTGTTTAGACTTTCTCCCTCGACCCCAGGCGGGGGCACGTTGCTCTTTCTTACAACTTTTATTCTACATCACCTTTGGGAGTTGCAAGTTGTAATCCTAGTGTCCTGGTAGCTACCCCCTTATTTTCAGAAAGGAACTCAAACCGTTAGTATTGATGTCCGTTGTCTCCAAAATGCGGTGAGCCAGCTATGTTAACAAAGTTAACATTAGTTTGATCCACTGCGGTGTGGGTAGAATATATTTTCTATTTTTATTATATTTGTTTTTTAACCTGAAAACAGAAATTGTGTTTACTGATTTTAACATAGGACTTGACTTTGGGCTATGGTTGTGGTCTTCAAAAGAGTTACTCCTACCCTTGGGAGTTCATGGTTTTTGTTGTTGTTTTAGGGTATGAATTTCCAGGTCCTTAACTTTCACACATATTCGTTCCTTAAATTGATTTGCTTGAAACTCAGACTTACCTCAATTCCCTCTGGCACCTTCCACTTTGTAACGCCTACCCCTCCTCATTCCTTAAATTTAGTAAGGAAGTTTAAAGTGCCTAAGGAATGTAAAGCCTCCTTCAAAGATTAGTCAAGATAGCATAAACCTGTAGGGCTTTAAAAATGTCCCTATAGTTATTTTCATTTGGTTGAAGCTATCTGTTAGAAGTGTGATATATTTACATTTGTTGGTATGCTCTGAATTCATATATATATGATAAAGTGATGTGGCAAGAGTAATATATTTTCATTCAAATAATTTGCTGCTTCCTTATTCAACTTTTGTCGGAGTTCCTGAACTTGATGGAGAGTTCCACGACATAATTAAAAAAAAATCTGTATGTGTTTTGAGCATTTAAATTCCCTTTTCCATGTATTTGAAATAAACAGATATTTTTGGCTGTTATGCTCATATTAATAGTTGGAAAGAGAAGCAATATAGATTAGAGGCACTGATTTTTTAAAAAAGTAATTGAAATATTTTAAGATACATTGGATAAAATTTTGGGATAAAACACAATTTCTTTAATAGGAGTATATTAATAAGAGAGTTGAGACTTTTATAAATCATGTTAAATAAAGGCAACCTATACCTTATTAATGTTTCTTATATTCTTTTAACAAAATGTAAATTGTTAACTACTGGACCTAATTGTTTTGATGGTATACTTTTATCTAATTAAGTGCATGATTCATCTCTGTAGGCATTTCCAATAGATATTTACTTTCTTCTTTTAAGTATTGTTTATCAAAATTGCATTTTTTTTACTAATTGTATACTATTAAAAATTATAACTCAATTATAAAGGACTTTTTTTCTTTTTCATTTCTTATTTTGGTCATAGGAAATGAAACGAAATCTAAAACTTTGTTACATGTTTTTATTGTACATGTTGTATTATACAGGCTTCAGAGTTTTCAATAATAAAAGCACAATTTAAGCACAAAAACTTACATAGATTAGATTTTCACACAAGAAATAAAAAAAATTAATTCAAAAAGTAAAAGAAAACATAAAACTTGTACATTTTATATAATAGCCTCTTTAGGTCTGTTTGAAAATGGAAGGAGCAAGTACCAGACTATCAAAGTGTGTAGATGACACTGTGTGTGTGTGTGTGTGTGTATACTCTATTATAGTGTGTATTACTATATATGATACTGTGTATGTGTATTGTACTATTTTACACTATTATATATACACTATTATACATATATACACATATATACACTATTATATATATGCTTATATATACACTATTATGTAGTAATACATACTGTTTATATTTATACACTATTATATAGTAATATACACACTAAGTTGCTTATGAATAATATATTAAGCAATACGTTAAGTACTATATAGTAATACACACTAATAGTCTGTATATACATATTATGTATAATACATACTATAGTATACACACTATAAAATACACAATATTATATATAGTAATATACACTATAATAGTGTGCATATATATACAGATAAAAGTGTGTACTTTCCAAAGAGTGATGTAAAATTTTGTAAATGTCAAGATTTACAATATGTTGCTCATCGTATTCTTTACAACTATTTAAACTTAAAAACTTTATATGTCAATTTAAAATATGGGAAAAGGGTATATAGTTTTTCAAAAATCTTTTAAGGGGAGGGAAGCAAAATGTTTAAAGAAACTGCCGTGGTTCTGATAGTATCCTGAGGGATGAGATAGAGTTTTGTATGCTGGCCTCTCACTTGTTTCTTTTCAGCTTATTGTGATTTATTCCAGTTTATATACGTGGGATTCTCTGAAGTTATAGATTATGTGATCTACTTTTAACTAAAGCCCTCACAAAATATCAATAGTAAGGATTCAAAAGCATGCAAAACAACATGAAAGGCTTGGACATGAAAATATTGTCTAAGCCTTTCTTTAATCACATTACCTATTAGTAATATAGTGATCAATTTTGACTAATTTGAAACTATTAAGAGGACAGCTTGAAATAAGAATTTATGTAAACCATGTTTAGGGATGAACGTTGTTGGCCAGGGCCCCAGTTCTCCTCCATATGGGCCTTTTCACATGGTTCTTCTACTTCTTCATAGCATGGCAGTCAGGTTCTAAGAGAGAGAAACAGAAGCTGCCAGTCCTCTTAAAATCTTAAATCTGGAACTGCCATGATGCCTTTTGTACTGTATTCTACCAGATAAGGCTGAAACAGGCCCAGCCGATATTGAGGGCAGTGGAGAAATAGTTTGTGCTTTTGGACGAGGGGAGTGGCAAAGAATTTGTAACCATCATTAATCTGACCACCAGGTTCTCAAATTATGGGATTTGCGAAAGTTAATGTTGGAAATTGGGAAGGGAAAATAGATTAAAGGTTATTCCTAAGGACAGATTCTTCGTATAATACTGCTTGCCTGACTTTGTTTGAGAAAACAAGTTGTGTTTGTCCTTCACAAATGGAGATGCTGCTGCTAAGAGTCCATAGCCAGTCTTGTGGCACCATCTCTGCATTAGCTTTTCACCAATGTGCTTGTACTTTGTTTGTCTTCTCTTTTCAAGCAAAGGTTTTTCAGTTTTTCTTCCTTTTGCAAAGCTTAAGGTAAGGAGGGTCACCAATAAACCTTAAATTTAAATTCTAGGATATAGGCTAGGACTTCATTGTCCTCCATGTCCTTGGAGCTCTTGAAACCAAAGCCCAGGTATGTGTTACTGCCACATGTTCTCAGAGTCAAAGCTGTTTTGGGAATTTTGCTAATTTTTTACCTGTGGGTTTAGATTTATCTCCAGATATTGGCCTGGAAGTTTCCTCTTATCAGTACTCTTGAGAAGATGTTAAAATAATGCTTAATGAAACTGTTTGTTTTCAGTATTAGGGTGGTTTGAATTAGCATGCCATTATTAAAAATAGGAAGGTTTTTTTTTTCCTCTTGATTTGGTGTTTGTAATTTAGGTACTTTTATAAGTTCCTTTTCATCTATATTTATCCCTATTTCAAATATATTGGTATAAAGATATTCATAACATTTGTTTATATATATCATATATACTTATTTATAGATATACTAAATATATATTTCTTTCAAATTCTATTTGTGATTATATATCCTTTTTTTATTTCTGAAATTGGCCTCTTCTTTCCTGGTCTGTCTCTTTTCTTCTTTTCCAAGAGTTATTTTTGATTTTTGATATATTCTGTTTTAATGTTTACTGTTTTGTTTTTTTCAGACCTCATTGCTTCATAATCTAGATTTTGACCACCTCTACAAACACATTTCTTAGGGCTCCAGTACTTCCTCCATTAACTCACCCTCACTTCTCTTTCTGCAGCTATTCAAACTACTTGTGAATAATCTTGATATCACTTCCTCCTCTGAACTCATAAAAATGCTAAGTAAAATGCATTTTTAAGGTATTAAAAATGTATACCATTTCCCAAAGTGAAAAGAAATGAAGAGAGCCATAGCAGTAAATAAGTAAGTGTGTAGCTTCTGGGGTCAGATTGTTCATATATATTTGATTACACTTGAGCTCCAGGAGGTTGAGGCTGCAGTGATCTCTGATTGTGCCACTGTATTCTAGCCTGGGCAACAGAATGAGACTCTGTGTCCAAAAGAAACAAGCAGACAGGAATAATGCTTAGTATATAAAATCCCTTAATAAATATTAGTTGCTTATTGTTGTTGATATTCTTGTTATTATTCATTTTGAAGAGGATAATGGTTATACCTAGTCTGTGGTTGGAATTATCATTTTATCAATCCTTTCATTGTCATCTTGCTTTTTAAGAAAGTTTTCTGGTGGAAGATATGTTTCAGCTCAGAGCATTTTCCCATTAGGTTACAATTGCATTGTATTTACCCATGTATTCTTTTAAGTATGTGCCTTAAGGTATACTTCTTAGTTTTACTTTAGGTAAAATCTTGCATTTCTTTTTTTTTTAACTTCTTCTTTTTGTTTACTTCAGGGATGATAGTAAAACATTTTTTTAAATTGTGCCTCATGTTCTTCTATTGAATTAAGTTCTTAGAGGCTAGCAACTTTCTTTTTTCTTTCACACTTCTTTTAATACTGAGTAATATATGTTAATGAATTGAATTATGTCTTAATGTAGGACATCTAGCACTTTGTAGTTAAAGTTTTTGTGATAATTAAGATTAGAAGCTTTTGGTAACTGTGTTTACTTTTTGATGGCCTTCTAATTTCTTTTAATCCACTTTTATAGATAATAGGTTTTGCATTACTAACTTTCTCCCCTTTCACTCTTATAGTTTGGAAATTTTAACAGTCAGATGCTAGGAGCAGCTCCAGACGTGCTCCTTGGTGGATACTCTGGGTACCCAGCATATTCAGACCCTTATTCCTCAGCTGATGACACCATGTATGCTTACTTCAGTGCTGTTGCTGGACAGGTGAGATGCTAAATTTATTGCATGTTTTAAAATACTATTATTTAAGCGAAATGTCAGCTTTTTTACTTAGGGTATCATTTATAATGATATGAATTTTATATTTTAAATTTATCTAGATGAATTTTCTTCCTGAGATCAGAGATAAGCATAGTCATAATTATTTCATTTTAAAAGTTTGTAGATGTGATACTTGATATACTGTTCATTTGACTAAAAGAGAAAACATTTTTTTCATAGTGGGGCAATGCTATTCTTTCTTACCTAGTATGCTTGCCTTACTGAAATTCTTCTGCAAGGGGCTCCTCTTACTAGTCACTAACACTCTACCAAAACATATATGTTAATATCTTCTTATGAGTTACCATTTTTCTTTCATTTTTTTTTTTTGAGACAGAGTCTTGCTCTATCACCAGGCTGGAGTGCAGTGGTGCAATCTGGGCTCACTGCAACTTCTATTTTCCGATTTCCAGCAATTTTCCTGCCTCAGCCTCTCGAGTAGCTGGGACTACAGGCATGCACCACCATGCCCGGCTAATTTTTTGCACTTTTAGTAGAGATGGGGTTTCACCATGGTGGCCAGGATGGTCTCGATATCTTGACCTCCTGATCTGCCCGCCTCGGTCTCCCAAGAGTTACCATTTTTCTATCACTTAAATGTTTTTATTTCTTTCAGTCTGTTTGACATTTAGAAACATCATACCCTCCCTGAGCGATTGATAACACAAAGCTAAGTAGGCTTAGCCTGTCCATTCTTTTATAGCATGTAAAACTGAGTATTGGAAATTTGAGGAAGGTAGAAAGTATTTAGAACAATTATAAGGAACAATATTTCTATCTTGGGCTTCACTCCTATTTAAAAAAAAATCTCAGTTAAAACCTAAGTATGTCGAACATATGATTGAAAATCACATCAGAATGTCATAAATTTATTCAAGTTGGTAAGTATATTTTTCACAGGTATAGCTATGTCATTTACAGTAACTTTGTTTGTATATGGGTGGTATATTTTCCAGATTACCAAAGTAATCATATTGGAATTTATTTTTACCTATTAAAAATTAAATAGTTTATTATGTTATGTTGTGGTATGGTATTAGGATGCTATTAGTTTCCAGTAAATCTGAGTGATTATTTAAAAGGCTGACTTTCTGATGCCCAATAGTCAATAGGGAAGGGTGAGACTGCCAATTCAAGTACATTAATTCTGTGGGTGAATTGTAACAGATGATATGTGAATACTGTGGTCAGGTGAAGCTTTTCTTTTACTCCTACATAACTGTGACACTATGCAACAATTTATTCTTTTTTAAGTAATTTTATATGTATTTTTCATGTGAACTTTCAAGGAAAATTAAGCAAATATGATATGTATTATACCCCTTTGTATCACTTATTAGTTGTATTTGACAGAAGTGTTGAGTAAATATTGACAATTGGAAGGAATGCAATATTAAAATATTCAAATTTCTTCCAAATTAATTAAATAATGTAATATTATTTGACTCAAATTTCTAAAGGTTTCTTCTTTTTTCTTTTTGGCATTTTCTGCAATGAATCTCTAGTCTGTCTTGTATGCTATGTTATTTAGAATAAATATTATAGTATATCATAATATAACTGTGTCATAAAAATTAATAATTGTGATAGTGTGGTACTAACCTCATCCCATACCATGTGGTAGCATTAATTCCAGCTATATCAAAGGATTGAAAAGAAGGTATATTGGTGTTTATCTCCTATTGTTGAAATAAATGAGCTTTTCTTTTTTTGCAGCTTTACTATATACTACGGTACCTGCTGTATTTGTGTTTTCGTGTACAAAACTTCTTAGAAGAGTGATTAACTAAGACAGTTGTGTGTGTCAGTGAAACATTTGGGAGCATTGTCTTTTAAAGATGTGCTTTTTCTTTTTCTTGATATGTTTCATTACTTGTTCAACAATTTTGGGGGGGAAATTGAAAGCTTTTCTGGGTTTGTGGAATACAGATTGCTGTATGGAGACTGTGGGCCAGAGAGGATTTGGTAAAAGAGATCTACATGAAAATCATCTTGAGTTAGTTGGGCAATGTATCAAAGAGAAGATTTGTAAACTGTGAATAATTCTAGGACAGGCTTTATGGTGAAATAGATTAGGAAAAGGTAAAGAAACTGGCAGAATGGAGGTTCCAACACTAGACTAATGGGCAGAGACAGAATTTCACTCTTGAGTCTTAGCTGCAGACCATATCTCTTTTCTTTTATAATGGTCAAGAAGGATTTATTGGCATAGGTAGAGTTTTATAGAACATTAATAACATTTTATTCATTCCCTTGAGTGTTCACTAGGTCTAATATTCTATTGTAGGAATAGACAATATGCACAGAATTAATGTATATGGCAGACATTCTGTTTTGGCTATCCCAGCTTCATTTACAACCTCCTTTTACCTTTTTTTTTCTGGATTAGAGGCTGGGGAACTATACTACTCACCATCCCAGAAAACTTTGTAGCTACTAAAGGCAGCCATGTGTCATAGGACTGACTATTGACAAGCAGATGCAGTATCTTTGGAAAATCTTTCTATCTCAAATGAAAAAGGCCTTACTGGGAGCAAGCCTTGGCTGTTTTTGCCCCTTCATTCTTCCTGCCTGGAAAGGGGACTTGAGGTATGGAGGTACAGCCTCCATCTTGTGACCCTGGGACACAGGTTTGAGATAAAGACCTATACATAGGGAATGTGAAAAAATGTAGAGATTGTTGACATGTCTAAGTTGCCATACAGCCCTGTTCTGCCTAGCCTCAGATTTATTGTGTGAAACAATAAACCCCTATTGGTTAAACATCTTTGGTAATATTTTTTGCTGTTTACAGCTAAATGTGACCCTAACTGTTCTATTCATTATATCATTGTCATTTTAAACGATTATACTGGGAATAAGCACTATTATACTGGGAAAAATCTATTATCTCTGTTTGACTATGTAATACAGTCATATAAAATCACAACTTAAAGTTTATGAACTGGGCATATATTTGGAGACTTTTTTGACTTTTTCTGAACTATGTCATCATTTTAATTGTCAACAATAAGTTTGTTATGTTTGAACTATTTGATACTTTCCTTAAATGTTCCAGTCTTGTGCTTTTGAATAAATAAACTCCATGAAGACAGGGTTCTGGTCATATTTTCCCTTATTTGACAGACAGGTACTAGGAATATATAGATATTTGATAAATATTTTGATTGGATGCACTAACTATCCCAATTTCAATTTTTAGTTTAAATATTTAGACGGTATTCTTTCATATGTTGAGTTCTATCAAGCCTTGAGGGATTAGGTATAATATCTAACTTATGTATACTGCTCGTAGAACCCAACTACTGAACTCATATCTATAGCCCTATCCTTTTTGGATGGGCCTCATATAATAAATTATGCTCTATGAAAAACATCTGATTTAAGGTTTCTGCAATGTTCTTATTTATAGGATGAAGTATTCCAAACACTAAGGATTCAATCATCAGTTAATTTGGGGAAATTTCGGTTTTTGTCTTTATACCTACATACATGGGCATTACAATAATACCAACAACTTTCAATTTTGTATGCACACTGCTTCTGCTTTTCCACATGGCAACTGTGATATGGGCATGACACATATACCTTTATATTATAGATAAGTAAGTGGAGACTCAAATTGAGAAGTTAAACAAATAGGGCTTGAAGTTGGATATTATTTTAAACTCTTGCTGCCTAACCAAGGGCAGTTGATTTTTATTGATTCTCTACCTGATGCTCTTGTAATTTACTTAGGAAATTCAGCCTTCTATCACTAATGCTACCTAATTCAGTTAAAGGTTTATGTAGTTAACCTGATCATCAGCTTCTACTATAGGAGAAGAAATTCAAAAGTGTCACTTGGATTTTATACATGTAGTTTAGGAATACACTGCTTCTTTGTGAGTTAGTCATTAAGATAACATGTTTTCATAACATCTATGAAAGTATATACTAGCAGAATGCTTTTTGATGGCAATGAATAACTTCCAGCAAAGCTGTTCTGGTTGTTTTTCTAACTCCAAAAATTCTGAAAAGAGAGTTCCATACATTGTACCAATTTTTAAATGTAATTCACATTTGAGTGAGAAATTCCAATCTTTTTAACCTTCTGAAATAGTAAATGAACATGGTCACAGTCAGAAATGCCAGCAGTTTAGTGAAGAACCAGAGGTAGTTGTCTTCATTCTACCAAACAACTAACCTTCTTTGTACTAGATATTCTGCAAGAGCCTTGAATGCAGAGATGAAGGAAACTCAGACACTGACTGAGAAGATTTCTATGTAGTCAGGGAGATACAGACACATAGAAAATGATAACAATGTAGGGAAAGATGTGCTAAAGGTGAACAGGTGAAGTTGATTACAACACCAAGAGTTTTTACTTGGTCTCTGCCGAGAACAGCACTGTCCAAAGTAAATATAACACAAGCCACAAATGTAAAGTGCATATATAATGTCTCACAACATATTCCAAAAAAGTAAAAAGAAATAGATGAAATTAATTTTAATATTTTATTTAACCCATTATATAAATAACCTAACATTTCAACATTTAATCAATGTAAAAATTATCAATTACATTGCACCTTTTTGTTATTAAATATAGGAAATCTAGTGGGCATTTTATATGCACAGAACACTGTAATTCAGACTAGCCACATTTCAAATGCTCAGTGGAACATAGGGCTCATGCCACTGTGTAGAATAGCAGGAGCCTAGTACACTTTTTTCTCAGGTGTCTGCATGGCTTGCTCCTGCACTGCCATAAACGCCTTCAAACATCTTTTAATTAGAGGAAAAATTTTCTAAACTGTCTCCCCTAATCTAAAAATATGCCTAATTCTTTAAAGGTAATTTTCTAACTACAGAATTTCAAATATAGTAAGCAAGATTCCCAGAAAAAGACCAAGAAAGGAACACTTAGATACTCTTGACTAGGGAATACCATACATATGGTTTATTGAGAAGAATGCTGCTTTGTATTTTGTAATTCCTGTTAGAACAACTGCATTTTTAAAAGTGATTCTTTTGCCAAAGATCCATTAGAATATGAGTGTTTATAATATTTCTTAGAAGTAGTTTATAGAAGTTTTTTGTTGTTCCTTGGATCTCTTATGAAGAGTATGTTTTAAATTTGCCTCCTTGATCCTTCATTATGGCTGATGTTTTGCATTTTTACCAAGGTATATAATAGTTCCAAAGAAATAACTTGTTGTAGTCAAAAACAAGATGAGATACTGAATCGTAATGAGAACACTCAACCTATTTCGTTTCCATTGTGATTTCTTGTTTGCATTTAAAAAATTTATTTTCTGTAATAAGTTCAGGCAAGACATGTTTGGACAGTAATCAGAAGAATAGCAGCAAAATACAGAGGGACTCTAGAATTTTGCTAGGGGTAGTGGTGGGAGAAAAATATATTTTCTCTTTCCAGTTAAAGCTTCAGTGTTATTTATAAATAATCTCCTTCCAAAACAGCATGAGTGGGGATGTTTTTGAGACTTTGCTGAACACATTTTAGGCATTTTTCTAACTGTTTTAAATAGAAGTACGATGACTCCTATAAGGTTATCTTGAACCATTATAGGACAGAGTAATTGTGCTATTTTTCAGAAGTAGAAGAAATTATTTATGTTGTATGATATTTTGTAATATGCCTCTGTTGCCAGTAATTGTCTCTAGAATTTTGTAGTTAATTATAGAGTAATGTTTCAAAGAATGCATATGTCTTGATTGGCCTAGAACAGTCAATTAATGTTTTAATATGCTTTTATACAACTGCACATATAAATTAGGTCATAATTATTTTTTAACAGGATGGTGAAGTGGATGCTGAAGAACTTCAGAGATGTTTGACACAGTCTGGTATTAGTGGAACTTATTCTCGTGAGATCTTTTTTCCACTCTTGTTGAAATTTTAATAGGAAATTTATTTTCTTACTTCTTTGTCTCTGTAATTATAATGTTTAAAAAAATCACAATTATATATGAACATAGTTTAAAGAATCAAATAACTGTAAAACTTGTTATAAAAATAACTGTTCATTGTGCATTCCTGTCTCCTCAACACGAACTGCTCATAGAAGAGACTTCTTTTAACTTAAAAAAAAGACTGATTCTTTTGAAATTTGCTTCCAGATTTCAAGATAACATATTTTTTCATGATTGAGGTTCAGTTTTTATGATTGTCAGTTGATATCCTGCTATGGAAGATGAGGATTTCAGTTTATTTCCACCGTAAACTCTCCCGTCTCTGCATCCCACACTGGAACCTTTCCCATCCTGTCCTTCCAGTGTCATTATATATATAATAATTTTGGTTAGGTACATTAGTCTTTACCTTATTTATACTATCTGAATGCTGCTTATAGCTGTGTCTTATGATAGTGTGTAATTACTTTTCCTTTTTATATAATGTTTTGCTTTTCTTGAAATAAGTAGTTGTTGGGCATTCTCTCTTTTTCATCATCCTAGAACTCTGGGACATGTTGTTTTTTATGCATAGCTGTCATGCTGGGATTCTTTCACCATCATTTTGGAGCTGGTTTCCCCATTTCTTTTGAGTTGAATGTCCATTTTACTCCATTTCTTATTGTCCTCTTTTAAAAAATTCATTGTTTTAGTGAAATACGTGAGAGGTAAATTTTTGAGAGCTTATGTATCTAAAAATGCTTTTGTTCTACCTTCAGAATTGACTGTCTGGGCAGGTATAGAATTCTAAGTTACAAATCATTCCCATGCAGAATTTTAAAGGTATTGCTCCATTGTTTCTAGTGTCCCTTGTTGCTTATCTTTCTCTTTCCTGCCTGGATGTGATGTAATTTGTTATTCCTCTCTGGAAACTTGTGAAATCTTTGTCTTTCGTATTCTGCAACTTGGCAGTGAAGTGCCTAGTTGTGTTGTGTGGGGAACTCAGAGGGTATTTTCAGCCTGTCCTGCTTTAGTTGTAGGACATTTTCTTCAATGATGTTTTCTGTTTCTGGAATGCTTTTTGTTTTGACTGGGACTTTGACTTTTCTCATCTTTTCCCTCCTTATTTTTTCTGAACTTTTTGGTAAATTTTCTCAACTTTATTTCCTAAACCTTCTATTGAGTCTTTCATTTCTGCTTTTCATTAAAATCCAAGAGCTTCTGTTTTATTTTCATGAATGTGATGTTATCTCTTATCTCTCTGAGGTTATTAATATATTTTTAAAGTTATTTCTTTTTATATAACCTTTGTTCTTTTTCCAAATTGTTTTTCCCCTCACTTTGTTTTGGTTGTCTTTCATGTTGAATGATTTTCTCAGTAATCTGATAATACTGCCTTGCTCATATTTTAGCTAAAATACGGATTAGAACCAGAGATCATGGTTGGGTGTTGATTATGGGCTTCAGTGTATGGTGGTTTGGCTGGGCAGTGTTGTCTGGGAACTCTGGGTGTCAGTATGTTTAGGGATTCCCTTTTGGGCTGGGTTTTTTTGTTGGCCTTCTACCTGGAAAGGAGAGGTGGACTCAGAGGGTTCTCAAGCCTTTTGTAAATTGTCCTTTAATTGCTTTGTTTTTAGAAGATAGTCTTGTCTCAGCTCTGGTATCATGCAATTCAGAGACCTCTCCAGAGAATAACATTCCAGACTTCTGCTGGATTGGAAGTAGGAGTAGCATCCATCCAACTGAACTGAGGCAGGGAGGGGATATGAGCCTTTGAATGCTCCTTAGATAGATATTCAGCCAATTCTACTGTTTTTATCTCTACTTTCACACCCACTTTCAGAAGTACTGCCAATTCGTAGGCATTTGGGGTCTTCTCCATGGGTTGCTTCTCAGCTTTTCTCCTTACAAGTTCAGGAATCCACGTTCTCAGATCTAGATTGGTTAACTCACATCCGTCAACTCTTCAACTTGCAAAATTTTGTTCCTTTGTTTCTTGACTAATTCTCTTTTTCTCTTAAGTTTTATGCCTTAAAAAATCAGTTTGTTGTCCATTCTATTGGGCTGTGGGGAGGAAGTGAAAAATCTGTCATCTTTCCTGAAAAGTCTCTCTCCTCACTGTTTGTTCAAAATATTTCTTCTTATACATACACATTTCTATTCTGAGAGTGAAGATCTGCTTTATTTGCTGACTCAGTTTTAGCCATCTATTACTATTAATTCAGATTCTCTCACTTTATGAATGTGTGCCAAGTTAATCATAAAGGAAAATAGATATTATTTACTTGCCCAAAAGAAGAAATACTATTCTAGAAATTTCTCACGTAATCTCCTCAGTCTGATAGTTTTATAGACTTAGCTTTGTAAGTTTGGGAAATTACCTTTCTGGGTCCCAGTTTCTTCCTTTTCAAAACTGGAACTGTTATACATTTAGCATGTTTATGTGAAGGCATGTAACACATACCACCTTACTTATAGTAAGAGCACATTGAGTATCTATTGAGTTGTCAATTTGAAGATAGTACAACCAACAATTCTAACATTGATAGCATATTAAACATTTAAAGAAAATCAGCGATTTTTAACTATGGAGTGTTTTATAATTTTTTCTTTAGTGGGTCTAAAATTTAGCTGAAATAATTTTCTTTTTCTATAAAATGTTAAAATGCTATGAATAAAATAAAATAATTTTGAAAATTTATATTTATTCATTCATTCACATTAACAAGCTGCTAGTAAACACTTGGTAAGTTTAAACTGTAATAACGTGATGTTTTTTTTATCAGGACTAGGAAATTCGTCTTGGGATAAGTCAGCATACTAGTTGAATGTAATTGTGAAAAGGTTTAGAAAAACTGAATTTTATCTAAAGGTCATCAGTTGTAGTTCTATAAATATGAAAGTGTTAATATTTCAAATCACCCTGGTTTCAAGATAGCTTGTATTGATTTCTTCTTCCTTTTTTCTCTTCCCAACCTCAGAGAAAAACCAGTTGCTTCTATTCAGATGCTCATTTTTTCTTACTGGGTCTATTACAATAAACTACCAAAGGACTTACCTATTTCCAGCATCACCTCACTTTATAGTTTATTTATTGTAAACTGAAGTTTCTAAAATGGAAATTTTAGAATTTCTCTTCTGCTTCTGAAAATGCTTCAGTGGCTTTTATTGGCCCAAACTTTTTGCAATAGTATTAAAAAGTTTCATGATTTGGCCCTCATTTGCCTTTCTGATGTCATCTTATGTCACTCCCTCCCATGTACTCTGACTCAAGTTTTGTGATCTCTAAGTACATGTCAACTTCTACTTAAACTCCATTTGTCATTTGTGTTGTGAAGACTGGAAGCCTTCCTTTTCTGCAGGCCTGGGTAAAGCCAAGTGCTTTACATTCCTAGAATGTCTCTGTCACAGTAATTTTCAGTTAGTTTATAATTGCTTATTTAAGTATCTTATTCCCCCACTCGATATGACTACTTGGGAGGCAGTAATTTTTTATTAAACAAAGGGTGTTTACCATTCAATAAAAGCTTGTTGATTGTGGTGATTTTATATATTTTGGCAGTTTTTAAATGTTTTATTTTGGAACTAGAGATTGTCATAATTTTACATAGATAAAATTGGGCATATTCTAATTCAAACATTGAATATGTTTTACAGCCTTCAGTTTGGAAACCTGTAGAATTATGATTGCCATGTTGGATGTATCCTTGAATAGAAATAGAAAATAGTAAATACTAGAATAAAGAGTAATTGCTTCCCAAATATTAAGCCAGTTGTTAGATTTCAGTGCTCATAGTAAACTAGTGAACTTGAAAATACTTTGTAATATCCTGATTAAATTCAGGCTTTTTAGTTTGAATGCAGAAATCTATTCATATGATGAGTTTGGCTAACTCTACAGAAGCATACTTAGGTTTTAGTCAATGATTTAGAGTCAGATAAACTTTCTCAGCTATCAGAATTTATTTTTGTTAATAAAACGATCAGAGAGATTACACAGGAAAAATGGGGTTTAATGAATTCAAAGAGCTATGGGCAGCTCTTAATGCCTGGAAGCAAAACTTCATGACTGTTGATCAAGACCGAAGTGGCACAATAGAACATCATGAGTTGAGTGAAGCCATTGCTCTCATGGGTAAGAACATTAACATTCTTTAGAATGTATAAAGCTCTTCTTTGTTCTTTGATTAGATGAATCTTAATTGCTTCAATTTGCTAAGCAATAAAGTGATATATTTTTCACCAGCAAGTTTCTTTGTTTTCAAGGTTGTAGGTAAATTCTGATCAAAGACCTCAACAAAACCATTTTAATTATGATTTTTTTCAAAAGATGATCTTCCATACATGCCTACATTCTGAATTTCTTCCGTTGAGTATGTTTAAATTTATTTCTTTGTTAATACTCACCACTTACATTGTATTCTTTTGTAACTTGGCAAGATCTCTAATTAGGAGCCAAAGCTTGCCTCTGTCAGTCACAAATCTGTACGAAATAGCTTTTCAGCAGTAAAAACCATGTTTTTGTTTGTCTTTTTTTTTTTTTCAGATATAGTACAGAATGCATAGCAGGTACCAAAATACATCAAGCTGGAAAGATTGCATTTTAGAGTAATTTAAAAGTATATAACTTTCTTTTTATCATACCTCTGTTAAGCTAATATTCTTAGTGTACTTTCAAAATGGATAGCAGACAGTGGTGTTTAATTTGCTTAAAGTCAGTGCAGTTCTAAGTAGCTTTCTGAATTGTTTTTATGTTTGTGATTTTATTATTATTTTTTTCGAGATGAAGTCTCGCTCTGTTGTCCAGGCTGGAGTGCAATGGCAAGATCTCAGCTCACGGCAACCTTTGCCTCCCGGGTTCAAGTGATTCTCCTGCCTAAACCTCCTGAATAGCTGGGATTACAGACGTGCACCACTATGCCTGGCTAATTTTTGTATTTTTAATAGAGACAGGGTTTCACCATGTTGGTCAGGCTGGTTTTGACCTCCTGACCTCCTGATTCACCCACCTCTGCCTCCCAAAGTGCTGGGATTACAGGCTTGAGCCACCATCCCCAGTCCCTTGTGATTTTATTTATACTCTTTTCTAAACAAAATATATTTTTATGAAAATTAATTTTTTAGAAGTTAAAATCTGAACCCAATGGAAGTAGACTTATCTTAAATTACAATCTAAAGAATTCAAACTAGTGATTTGTTTGGTTTTGTTTTATAAATAGACATTTTAATTTAGTAGTTAGGGACAATCCAGTCCATATTAACATGTGTAGTTCAGTTATAGATCCTTAATACCTAATGGATTAAACCTGGTCCTTAATTCAGCCTAATGTTGGGAGATTAATATAATCTTATCAGAAAAGTAAACCTCCAGAATTCAATTAGGCAGCTGGATGTAAAAAGGGTATTCTGGATTATTCAAATTTAAGATCTTCATATATATTTAAAAATTCTCAGATTATTTTGGTGAGAATACTATGGGAAAATCTAGGAATTTTATCAGTACCACATTTGGATCATAACTCTCTAATATGAAGTTCAAACTATATTTGCATATAATTACATTAGTTTGCATATTTTAATGCGTCTTTCAATTTATACCTTTATTTTCTTTTACTTTAAGCAGATTTCCTGCATTACGTTCTATTGTATTTAGCTACATGCATAATTTTCTCCTAATGCATTTATTTTGGTTGTTTTCACCTTTGAATGAATTAGTGCCATTTATTCAAGTCTACATATCCAGTAATGTATGGGCAATTATAATGGGCTACCATTCTTCTTAGTAAAGTGTACGCATCTCATTAAAAGCCTTGGGCCATCTATAAGGGTGCAGCAAGTAGAATATATTAATTCATGTTTTTATTCATTTTTTCTCATTAATTTTAAATTTTAGATTTTATGTATATTTTTAAATGGGAGTAATCAAACAGTAATACATATATAGAATTTAAAACTGATTTAAAACATATACTTGGAGTGAATGATCAAAAACTTCTCATTGCTATAAGTATAAAATAGAAAATTTTGGACATCATAGGACTACTAGAACAGAGAACCAATGAAATCAGTGAAATAGTGAGAAAGCTGTTATTATTATTACAGTGTGTGAAGAAACATGAAGAGTTCTAGGGCAAAAAGGAATAATGTTTTTCTGTTTTTATTCCCCTTCAGAGCAATGATGTTGATCCTCAAGTTTCCCTTAGCTATAAAAGATACTTTCAAGTAATATGTTCAGTGGGAAATATGATTTGAATAACAAAGATCATTAGTAATCTTTGCATTAATATTCTTTAAGAACTATAAAAAGTTACATAATTGAAATATTGAAGCATTAAAACCTGTGAAATTAGACATTATTTGAAAATAAAAATATATGACAAATTCATAAGAAGAGAGTTATTTTCTTTTCCTTAGCTTTGACTTTATTACAAAGTTAGAATTGTGATATTTATATACCGATTAACAGGATTAACAGTGAGGGCTTTGATCAATTTCAGTATTAATATATTTTGTTTCTAATTATATTTTTATGGAATAAATTTTGAAAGTTAATTTATTTTAGGACTTCATTAATGAGAAAGCAATCTTACAGTGTTCTTATGTTATTTACATTTAGAAGTTTTAATTTATCTCTTTAGGTTATAGGCTGAGTCCTCAAACATTAACTGTAATTGTTCAACGTTATAGCAAGAATGGCAGAATTTTCTTTGATGATTATGTTGCTTGCTGTGTGAAACTTCGAGCATTGACAGGTATTGACTATTTAAAACTAGGTATAGTATTATGTAGCTATTTTTCTTGAATAATGTGTCTCATTTTCTCCAGCAAATTTATAATAATATCTGCTTTCCCCCTTTATTTACTGTTTAATCTAATTATTTTAACGCTTTAAAAATTAAGGAATAGACATGATAAAAATTGTTATATGTTATTTTTGGAAGGTTTTCTTCATATCTGTGTTGCCTGGGCTATTCAATCACTTAAGATTTGGTTGAATATGACATTATTCTTTTTTTTTGTAACTGGGGGGGACAAAATTTGTGAAACTGTATATCTTAAATTACAATAAAAAAGTAATTTCTTTGTTTAAAGATTTCTTTAGGAAAAGAGACCACTTGCGACAAGGGTTTGTGAATTTCATATATGATGATGTGAGTATCCTGCTTTTGATATTTATACTGTGTTATAGATATATTCTTGGTAAAAAAAAAAAAATCAGGTGATCCCAAGTACCAATACTGCAAATAATATATTTTGTATACCATATACTTTTTCTATATTTTTCAACTTGACACAAATATAAGATTATTATTGGTATAGGTGCCAAACAATTTGACTTCATGTTAAATTATAAATATTCTTTTCAATTTTTTATGACAGGTTTTTGGAGTTAAAAAAAATGATCTTTCAAATCACTTTTAAGGGCCCAAACCACCATTATTTTTTTAAAAAGTAGTTTACTTTGGTGATATATTTTCTCAGAGAGGGAACAATTTTAATCCAGGACAGATTATGAAGCTGTTCATTTCTCATTTCAAATGGTTACTATTATCCTGATACGCAGGGTTTTTTAAAATTCAAGCGATAAGACAGTTATATTTCACCTGTGCTTTAATGTTTCAGGGCTTTTGTTTTGTTTTTCTTATATTTACTGATGGAAGTTACAGGGTCAACATTACTCTACTGTTATTTATTGTCTTGAATTATAAGCCTTGGAAACAAACTTTCCCTCTTAAGAAAATGCTCTTATGGGATATAATTAGTCAAACACAATTAAAAACCATTTTATTCTTAATAGATAATTATTTTACTTATGTATTAGTTTTTGCAGGGCACTATGGCAATTTGAATATCTAGAATTCTAAACCTGAAGAGACACTGTGAATTCTTTTGCTTGGAGGAAGTGGACTGGATTACTTCAAAAATTTTAAGGGTTTTTCCATTTTCTTCCTACCTGTTGAATCTTTTCGCTTTCTATGTGTTTTTATTTTAGCAGGTAGTTCAAAGCAATAAAAGATTTTTTTTTAATTTGGGATATTACTGCTTTTGGAAAGTTACCATTTTACAGATATGTGCATATTGTCATAAAATATTGGTGTATGATTGATTTAAATAATGCTTAGCCTTAATTTTTAACAATGTAAACTTAGAGGAATGTACTTAAAAGATAGATTGTATAAGAAGTCAAATGATAAAAGCCTAGAAAAAACTAATTTATACTTATCTGAAGGTTACAAATTAGACTTTTAATTTTGTTTGCAGTTGGTGCTGTTTGAGGGTCAGCTAGAAATGAAAGCCTGGATTTTGTGCTATGTTTGTAATATAGTTTGTTCCTTGATCAAATAATCAGAAAAGAAACTTAGAGCTCTTTGTCTGCAAAGAAGAAAATTATCTCCCCAGTCAAATCTGTGATGACATAAGACTACAAAAGGCATTATTTTTTATTTTTTGTAATATATATTTTTCTTCAGTATGTTATATTGTCTTCTCTAAGCAAAAAGTTCTTAATAAACATAGTATTTTTCTCTACACCCTGTTTTGTTAGTAAAGACATAATTCATCTAAAATGGCATCTTCCTCTGAATCTAGACTTTTTGGAAATGGCACATATGATTGATGAAATCAACATTCAAATTTGTCCTAACTAAATTAACCACTCTAATTGTTCAGAAATTATACATTTGACTTATTTGACAACATTAGTGGTGGCTTTGCCATTAAAAATACCAGTAAATGTTGTGAGTGCATCTAGGTAATCTGGGGTTTTGAGCATAGTACACACCACAGCAATTTTTCTGAGTGATATTAAAACTGTCAAAAATGCAAAGTAGAATCACCAGATCTTTAGTGCTTAATATTCCTAGTTACAATTAATGTGATTTATTTCTTGCCAAATACCTCATGTCTTAGTGAAGATTTAATAAACTACATATTTTTCTTATGCTTTAAATGAATATCTTCCAGCTACAGGTGAGTGACATAATTTTATGACTGTTGACCAAATTAATTTATATATTTTATAAAATCCCATGTTTCTTAATGGATGGAGGATAGACAGCAGTATGCTGAACAAAACCTTTCATAAACTTACAGAATTTTAAATCAGCTTTCACTTTAAAAAAATCCTGGAGGGGAAGTGATACATAGTCCCTTGACACATAATTTTATATAATTTGCTGTCAAATTCACTTGATCAGTTTTATAAAAATGTGTGAATAAGTAATCCACATAATTTTGTTCTCTGGCTTTTTTTTTCATGAAGATATATTTGATAATGTGAAAGGACATAAACTGAGTTAATTAAAAAAATACAGAATTATAAGTGTTGTCAGAAAAAGCAGATGTAAAAACACCATGTGTTGTTCACATTGAATGGTGATAATGTGGCTCAGCAACCTGTAATCTTAACATCCAGGTTATATAGATGGTCTTTACTGAACTATCCTGTGGTTAATTATGATTATCTCTCTTACTTGGAGGCTCACAGTCGAGGTAAAACTTTTAAAATGACAAACGGTATTATTCATGTAACTTTCTGCCAAAAGACACTCTGTATTAGAACTCTAACACAGTTCTCATCTAAAAATGTTCCTATGACTTTTGGTCATAGGAGGTCTATGAAGGAGCTTCCATGGTCAAACATATTTAGAAACTCTCACTTTATAAACTTGATAATGTATATTAGCGTCTGAAAACCCAAGGTTAATAAAATCAGTCATGTTTAATTTTATTTGACCCAGTTTTTAAAAAAATTTTTTGATCACATATCCCCTTTCTGTAGCAAAACTAACATTCTGTGCTGATCCAACTCAATTTCCAGGCAACTCTTCTGTACTTTTCATTAGATAGACAAACTTTTATTAACAGAAACATTGGGCCTAGAGAATATTTTACTAGAATTTTTATACTGAAATACAGTTCACTTTTTTGATGGTTTAAAAATAACTGATATAAATATTTGTTATTAAAGATTTAATAGTTTTATGATGAACACAACTGCAATATGAATATAGAGTGGTTGTTTGCACTGGTTAACTTATATCCCAGTTTTTTTAATGATGATGTAAATTATTGAATAATGTACACTCTTAATGTAGAAGTGCTTTTATTTATACAGTTAACATGTTTCCATGTCATTTTGAGAATTTTTTAAATAAACATTCAAATAGCTTGCTGTAAAGTTTCATATCATACAAAATCTGTTACATATATATATTATGCGATGCTTCAGTTCAAATAACAGTGCAGTAATTCACCTATAACTAAAAGACTGCCAAATGATTAAATGTCTTGTATTGTACTTTTATTTTGAGTGGCAGTTTACACATTATAAATTACATCAAGGGTAAATCAATACCGTGGAAATCTTAATTTGGTCCACTTTAAATGTAATTTCAAGGATTTCTCATTTGATCTATTTAACATGCTTCCAGAAAAAAGTAACAAAAAATGTAGTCAAGTTACGTTTATTTCCAAAAGAAGTCATTTAACCTAGAAGAAAGTAGAATCTGTTAATGTAAAGTCTGTGGAGTTAAAAAAATAACAGAAAATCAATTTATTTGTGATTATTTCTTTTAAGTAAAATATAGACATCAAGTTCTCTTTTAATCTTATGGCATTACTAAACTGGACAAACAAAATAAATACTCTTTGTCAGAAATGTGCTCTTCTTTGTCTTTTTATGTTTGACAAACTCATAAATGGTATGTTTTCTTCTGTTTTTCTATGGTTTTCTGGGAAATTAATAGGAATAAACTTGTTAATATCTGGTGAATTAAATCTGGTGAGTAAAATCCAAGACTTCTTTCAGGCTAGCATATTCTGTTTCATAAGCTTTAAAATGCAACCATGGGTATTTTATTACTTTAAAACTTGTGTTAGAAGTTCCCAATTTTTTGGTCTTAATTCAATCATTTACATAGTGAATTAAGCACATTGGAATAAATAAGTAATGCTAAAGTATCATCCAAGAATATAGAGTTTATTATTGGATGATACAAATAAAAAATACTTAGAACTGGTAAGTATTTAGAAAATTTGAGTGCAGACAGGATTTTAAATGAATACTGCCCAGGTAATTTGAAGTCTAGAATGAGGTTATCACAGAGTACATATATTAAACTTTTCCTGTAAGTTAGAATACTGAGCATGAAACTACTTTCCAGCAAAACACTGGGAAACTTAGGAAAAATTTGTCTTACTCAGTATCAGCTCATTTGCTGGGAAATATGTGCTTTAAATCATTTCCTGCCATATCTCTTTCTACTTGTGTTTTAAAATATGTTTTTCTGTCATATAAAGAAAGATTCTTATATACTTAGCATTCCTTTTATCCAAGTAGCTTGGTAATATGCAGCTTTGTGTATTATTTTGTGAGTTTCAAGACTCAGGTGTGCTTCTATATATCTGAATAGATAGTGAGTAGACATTGGCAACACTTCTACATCACTATGATGTGCCATACCGTAAGAGAATGGTGAAGCTCTTTCTCTATGTGCTAGTTATGTTTTCTTCAGATGTGCCCCTTCTGTAACATCAGAGATGGTGGCAATTTGCAAAGCTTATAGGGAGTGAGAATTGGCCTAGATTCTCATTTAATAGCAATGTTCAGGGACAGTTATGTTAGGAATGATTAGGTCTTAATTCTGACATATTGTGAGAGGTACCCCAGCATTTTCCCTTAACCATAAAAATATAAGTATGTGCAAATACATGCATACAGATATTTGCATTCTAGTTGACTGTACTGAATCAAATTTCATTTTGCTGTAATTATTCAATTTTTGAAGGATAACCTGAAGAGTGCTAGTATGAATATACCAGAAACATTAAACATTCATTTTTTGAAAATTATAAGCCATTGTAGAGTGATTTTAAGATTTTTCTGAACTTTTGGATGCATATTTAATTTCCCATTAAATGTGCATTTGGATGCATATTTAATTTCCCATTAAATGCTATCTAAATGTGGTACCCTCATATTTATATTATGGCAGGTGATAATTTATCTTACGGTAAGTTCTAAAATATTTAGCTTCATATTTAGAATCTCATTTTCTGATCAGCCTCAGTTATAGATATCATTATAGTTTTTCTGTTTGTGTTTGGTTTTTCATTTGTCAAAGGGAAATATTCTCTTGGTGTTTTAAACCTTAAAGATGAAGGTTAGGAAATCTAAGCCACTAAACAGACTCAACAGTCCTTAGCTTACATGCCACATTATGGCCAAAAAATGTAATTTACAAGTTTTCTTGAAGGTGGTTTGATATTTTTTCCCCTTAAATAATAGAGATGCAACTAGGGGAGGAATTAAGAAAGTATGAAACTCGGGCAAAATAAAATATCTGGATATTTTCATTCTTGGTTAAAAAATGAAGCAAACATAAATTATAAAAAGTTACTTGCATGTACGTTAATGCCTGTTTATCCATCAGAAATTTTAAGTAAACAATAAATGTTTCAGTCAGTCACTGTTGTGGTCTTAACAGGCAATAATCAGTTAAATATTATGTTTCTTCTATTTTAGATTTAATGCTCTTTGCTACTCAGTCTAGCTTACTAGTGTCCTGATGGAACTCTGTAATAGCTGTAGCACTGTTATGTGATTTCATGAAATAACATCAGCACCACCATGCCTATATCTAGCACTGTTCCTAGTAAAGTGTTGGAAAAAGTTGGCTTGTCTAGAAAGTATCCTACTTAGCTAATGAGATTTACTTTCTTTTTCCTCAAAATAATTTCTTTTATAAATTCTTGAATTTTTCATGTATAAATAGATCAGAAATTATATGCTCATTCTTAAATTATGTATATATGTTTTCAATACAACTTGTACACTTCTTTTAGCTACCAAAAATTTGCAACCATTTTTACATGAAATGTACATTTTTCTTATTTACAGTTATCTGTAGAAGCTTATTGCAAAACTAGTTGTGCAAGTAGATTACACTGTCAATACCACATATCAATCTTTGAAGAAAATAGTTGCTAAAAAATAAATATTTCTGCACAGAATATTTCAAAAGCATTATGATTTCATGCTACATTATGTGCATAAAAACTAGGAAATAGTATGTGTTTTGGTAGATTGTTTCATTTCGTATAAAGCATTCCAAGGTACTTCCTACTTAGCCAGATGTGAGCTGCTTTGTATCAGATGACTGACATTTTCAAGTGATTACACACATTCTTTTTGGAAATGTATTATTCTTTAACTGGTAAACATTCCGATGTAATACATTTTCCCACCAAAATTATAAAATGAAAATTTCAGCTAAAAAGAGGTAATATGCCTTTAATTGAAATCAGTAGGTGGCTAGGAGATAAAAACTAAAGAATCCTCAAGATTTATAATCTTATTTAACATTTGGAAGAAAGATGCCATATCATTTCAGTGCCTTTATAGGGGCCTTTGAGGAGCAAAGATTACTGAGCCTTTAATTTTCCCCAAAATAAGAATGATGAAAATGTGGAATTTTTTATATAGCTAAGCAATATATGTCAGTATAAATAATACAGTTTAAATGCTAACAGTTGTATTTTCCATATAAAAACATTAAAATATACAAGAGGAAGTACAAAGAATATAGGTTAAACATAGTGCTTTAAAACCACAGGTATACCAAATTATTTTACATCTTTCAAAATATAAATTAATGGAAGTCAAAGATGTAGTGACTATAATTTAGGGGATTTATCTAATTTTTGACATTAGCTTTCCAAGAATAACTACGTTAGTCTTGCCACTTCTCATAATAAGTACTGTTTTATTGGGAGTTTTTCTGTAATCTTGCTATTCTCATTTAAAAGTTTGATCACGAATGGTAGAGCAATGAAATTTGTCAATTGATTGTATGGTTCTGTGTTCTGAAAATTGCATTTCTATAGATGTTTTAATGTATTCATAGTAATAACATGTTTTAAATAACTTCTTGTTAGTCATCTCTCAATCTCCATGTAACAGTTTGTATATATAAGCCTCACAGTAGTTTCTTTTCATGCTTTTGTTTATTAATAATTCATGTCTTTCTGTTATTTTTTTGTATTTGACATTTAACCAAAATGTGTTTCTGCCACAAATGCATGTGATGAATTATTGTACTCGGGCACTGATCAATCACAACACTTAATACTGTACATTTAAAACATGATCCTTTAAGTTTGAAAAGTGGTTTAACATCACATCATTGTAAGTAGAACCACAGAAAAAAATTTGAATGGGAACACTTGAGGAATGAGGGAAAGAAGGATGAGCTATTGCAAACCTAGAAAAAACCGGAATGCAAACGTATAAACTATTGAATGGTGGACAAAGGCAATATTTGACAAATATAAGGATGCTTGTATACTGGCGTTCTGCTCTGAGCAACTAGATCTTTGGGAGGTATGTGAAAATGACTTTATCAATTTTTGTTATACAATATGAGTGTATGTGCTGGGTAAAGGAAAGAGCAACAGAAATGTTTTAGAAGACCTTAAATAGTGCTACTGCACTACCACCATATTTCACTATCTTTGTGATGATGCACAAGTCACACAATGATCTTATAGATTTACTGTAAGAAGAAATAACGTGCTTTATGGTTTACAAAGCATTTCTACTATATATTTCAGAGGATCCTCAACATACCCCTTCAAGATATGTTAGATGCTACCTCCATTTTTATAATTTTGGATACTGGAGCTTGCTTTGGGTTTGTCCCAAGAATAAATGGAGAAGGTAGAATTTGAGTTCAGGTTTACCACATTGAGTCCCCTGCCATTTCCACCATTCCACACAAGAGCTTAGCCAGTTTAAGACTGTGTAACGTATCTGTGCAATGGATGAGTGACCTAGGAGTCTGAAAAGAACCATTGCAACTGTAAAATTCTATTTTCTGTAAAAATAGATAATATATTTACTTTCAAAATTGTATTTTGTAAATGCATTTTCAGATATCCATCTAAGGACTAAATCATAGATCTAAAAAGGGACTTCCACAGTGAGCCAGCCTTTATAGAATACATTCTAGTAGTACTGATCGACAGATTACTTTCACATACTTGGCATGTAACATCGATTCAGAGTAGATATGTTTATAAGATTGATACTCTCACTATTATTATAAATAGTATTACTTTAAAGCTATAAACCTAATAGTGCAAAATACAATTAAGAGAAAACAACAGCTATATGTAGGTTTTTCTGAATCAAAAACTTATCTTGGTAACAGCTTTTTTTTTTTTTTTGAGATACTGCACATTGTGCAAAATCTAAATCTTGGGAAATTGTTCTCCTGACTGTTTTTAATGCCATGTTTCTGGATGAGGAACAAGGAACCCAGCATTTCTTTTAGCACCTAGTATGTGCCAGGCACTTTACTATATTTTATCTCATTTCTTCCTCAAGCTTCTGTGAGACAGGTACCATTATCTTATTTTTGGAGATTCAAGAAAAAGACTTGGGGAGGTGAATTAACTTGCTCAGTCACACAGCTATTGATAAATAACTGGTATTGGAACCCAAGTTGGTCTGACTGCAGAATCTATGCTTGCTCTTCTATATTGCTAATTCTCAAATTTTTAGTGTGTGTAAGGATCATGTCAGAGAGGGCTTGTTAAAAGATAATTGCTGGATCCCACCCCTAAAGTTTCTGATTTAGTAGATCTGGGGTGAGGCCAAGGACATGCATTTCTGCCAAGTCCCCAGGTGATGCTAGTACTGTTGGTTGGTGGACCACACTTTGATGACCACTGTCCTATATCATCCTATCGTCTAGTGCCTCTTCAAACTCACGTGATAGAGACATGCTTGTTTTACTGTAAAAATATAACTTGATTTTTTGATAATTTATAAAAACTTTGATTTTTATAAATAATTTACTTACATTTATTTATTTATTTTTTGTTTTAGCCATAGATAAGAACTTTAAAGACTCTACAATATTAAGTTATAAGTTAATGTTGCAGAATTGTTTTTAATCACAAAAGTAGTTTAGAGAAAAGATGCTGTTATTTAATGATAATTATTTTAGATATGCTAATAAGGTGATACATTTTATCATTAGATAATATATGATGGGGTTTGAAAATGACATTTGGATAAGAACATTTGTTTTCTAGTCATTTTAGAAACATTTGCTAAAGTTCAACCTGCAAAAGGACCTTGTAAGCAACTCTTACACAAACATATTAAACCTGACCCCAAATGCCCTGACCTACTTTCCATACTTCTGACTAGAAGAGTAAGATAGTTCTGCTGTGATGACCAGTACAGTATAATGGACTTAAGAAACTATTCTGTCCCAAATCTGCCCCCTGCCTTCCTATGTTTGTTGAATGAGTTATTATTAATTTAAAAACCCCATGAGAACATTGCTTCATCATTTATTATTCCTGGTTTTCTCAATTAATTAAAGAATGTGACTTCCCTATGGGGGAGAATGGTAAGTCTAAGTTTCAGCTCTGCCCGGCAATTAATAACAGCAGGAGAGCATCTGATCCAAACAAACTTTAGATTTTAAATGACATTTTATTTAGGCCAGGGGACTAGGTAACATCAGGTTTAGGAGGAAAGCAAAAGGTGTTATGTTGGTGCTTCTAATTACCTAGAAGGAAAGCATTTGGTACACTGCAATTATGATTGGCTGCAGCAGTTGACCTGGCCTCAGCATGATCCCTAGATGGAGAGCCAACAAAGGGTGGGAGATGATAGTACATTTAGACATTAGATCTTTGGCTGGGAAAGGGTATGAATTTTGTACATCAAGATAATTGCTTTGGTCATCTATAAGTCACTTTAGCCATTGAGTCTTCTGACATTAATGCCCACTAATCCCATCTTTATATTGCTCAGGCTCTTTTTAAGCTAATGTCCTGTAGGAAGAGACCTTCCTAATCCTGTCCAATTCTCTGAGGGTTAAGATTTTAATATAAGCAATTATGTGAAGGGATGAAGAAAAAGGTTTGTGTTGTGCTAGAATTTAAACAAACTGGATGCTTGCACACCATTCCCCATCTTCCTATTTCTTCATGCTTAGTTTTCATAAATATAAACAGAAGTTTTATGTGGAAGGCTGGATTTTATTCATGTCATACCAAATGTTGCAGCTGAGGCATTCATTAATCAATCAGATTTCAATACCTCACCTGCCAAATTCCTCTCTCCCTGTAAATGAACATTGTCTGGTGAATTCATTCTGAATGTTATTGGAACTTAGGCTGGCAATCCTTATGAAATTTGCTGCAGCTGCAAAAATGTGTCCCAGTATGGAAACAAAATCCCAAAATAGTCCTCTGAATCAGAGTTAGCCATTAATGGGACTTCTCTTCCCTGCTAGGCACCCACTGAATGTTTGTTGAATGAGGAACTGAAAGCATCAGTTAGCCCCTAAGTTTGTATCTGCATAACACCAAATAATTTGGGAAACTGGTTATAATTATTTACCCTTTTGTATAATAGTATATATTTGAATTGACTGGTCATTTTGCATAATCCACTTGAACATTTATGTTTTGGTTTTTCAAAAATTAAGCAGGAGTAAGAACAAGTTTGTGCTTACAGATTGCCTTCCACATGGATTACCAATTTATGTGACCATTTAAAAACATGCAGGGGGCAATCTAAGGTCACATTAATCACACTTTAAACAGTACAATAGTTTTTGTAAATTTAAATAAATAGCTTGCATTTGAAGCTGATTAACAGATCCGTGTCAAAGTTGGAAATCCTGAAGGGATAGAAATTCACCCATTTAATCTGCACAGATAAAATGTTCTTAATGGACTAAGAAACTTCCAATAAATTTAAATATTTTTGTTCTGAAAGAAAAGATATAATGGATCAGAGTTCATAATTTTTAAATTGAAAAATAAAATTTCTTAACTAGAACTTGACTGACCATAATCTTAAATTGTAACATTTTCTTCACCTTAATTTTATGAGAGACATATGCTCCCCACAAAAAAATCTAACAGTTGAAGATATTTTAATTGAACGATATATTTCATTGTATGTTCTGATATTCTGAGGTCAATATATATTCATTTTAATCCATGCATAATATATTTTTGTTTAATTTTTCAATTGGCAAAAGTGTTCGAATAACTAAAAACTGAAATTTTACTGATGTTATGTACATTTTCCTTCTAGGCACACTTTTTCCATAGCTGGAAGTACACATCGAATAACATATATTTAATGGAAGCTAGTTTTGCCATGCAAACCCACTGAAATCATACATTCTTTGAAAACTATGTATGTCCACTATTTTTTGTTTGTTTTTTGAGACGGGGGTCTCACTTTATTGTCCAGAATGGAGTGCAGTGGTGTGATCAAAGCCTCCTGCACTCTTGACCTCTTAGGCTCAACCCATCCTCCCACCCAAATCTCTCAAGTAGGTGGGATTATAGGTGTGAATTACCACACCCAGCTAATTTTTAAAAATTTTTTGTAGAGATGGGTTTTTGCCATGTTGCCCAGGCTGTACATTCATTATTTTGATCAAATTCGGGATTTCTTTAAAATTTGAATCACAAGAAAGCCGTGGATATCAGTTTATGTTGGTTACAGTTTAGCAGTTCTTAAGGAGACCACCCCCCAATAAAGCAAAATGAGAAATGTGTTTTTAAGCCTTCTAGGAAATGTGCCAGTGGAAAATACTTTAGATGGTTTGTGAATGTAATTAGTGACAAAATTTTAAATAGAAAGACCTTTGTTCTCATTAATTTGGCCTATGTTTAGTATTTGGAGATGGCTTCCTATACTGTGAGAGGTTTATAAATCAAACTTTGTATTTTTTCTTCCAGTGTGGAGGAATGAATGTAACTTTACACATCTTGATACAGAATGACCTGAATTTGTTTGCAAAAGTGACTAAGTTCCTTTTATCCCCCTGGAATTCCCATGAGTTGAGGATCATCTGAATCTGAGTTGCATCCAAGAACAGATTTATCCCTTGGTTTCTTATTTGCATGGAAGGCATTTTCATATCAAAGTACCGGTTTAGTAAAAGCAGTAAATAGGAGTCTCCATGCAAGAGAAATTGGAGTTTCCTAACATGCATGTGATTTAAAAAATAAAAATAAAAAATAAGGTGCCATGAGATGCTGGCAGTTTTAACATTTGGAACCAAAAGTTCTTATGTATATTTACATCCTAACTGCTCAATTTTACCTTACAAGCTTCAATTTAGGAAAATATACAGTACTTTTGCATATAGTGGTAACTTGTGAGCCCCTGAGTCAAGTAGAGAGGATTTAAATAGAAAAAGGAAAACAGCCATTAAAAGCACTTACATTGTATGTGGAGTAAATAGTACAAAATGAATTATTTCCCTGGAAGACCAGGATCAGAAACATGCCTATGAAGACCCAAGATTCCTACAGTGCTTAGGGATGATTCTGGCAAAGAAGGATGCCTAATTGGATGAAGGTACGTTTTTCTTTGCCGCAGATGAAGCTCTAAAGAGAGATCACTGTCTTGTTTTAAAAGTGAAGTCAAATTGTCTTCTGAAGCTGTATTCAGATGCACCCCACTTGAAAGGGATTCTTTGGATTTAAGTTTAGATTTTTCAAGGTCTAGAAATTCAGGACACTGATGGAAAGAAAACAAAACACATTTTTACAATTCACATTGATAGACAGTCATTGAACAGTATACTAATAAAAACTTAAGCGTTTTCTTTCCTCATTAATCTATATTTGATTAATGGTATTAGCCAACATTTCCCTCCTAAAATGAGTCAAGACATGGGAGACTGGTTATCAGTATAGATAATCCTAAACAAGCATTCCAAGAACTTTTATTTAACCTTGGAGCCAGATTTTTAAAATCAGATTTAAAAAGTATTATTTTACATTGAGTTTTCCAGATGAGTTAAAGTCACAATTTAAGACAAAATTGGGATGAGGAATAGGATCATTTGGTGAGTAAGAGGGTATCAGGAGGAAAGAAAAGATGGGAAGTCAAATCAGTCATCTCTAGTGAGGTAATATTACCTACAAATACTAAAAACGAAGAACGAAATAGATGGTTTTACATGTTTCCCAGTCATCCAAAACTAGGTAAATTAATTTCTACTTTCAGATTTTAAAAATAATGCATTATTTTTCTTTCTGGCACATTACCTTCTGTTATTAGTGTAGTTTCATTTTCCAGGGCAACTTAAATTCCCAAACATCTAAAAAAGTTTTACAAGGTTGTTCTATAAATCCTTATTTAAATCACTGTTCTTAGGTCCAGTTTCACTATAGTGTTTAACTAATTGAGACTAATTCCCAAAATAGAATTAAAAGGGAGCTAGACTACTCATATTAACATAATTCAAAAGGATCCTCTTTGAGGGCTTCAGACGCAGGAGAAAGGACTCTTTAAATTGCTTCTCTTACCATGTTTACCATCCAAGTGAAAAAAAAATTAGAGATCTCTGGTGATGGGTGGGGTACAGACAAGATTACTAGTCTGATGGCATTTGAAACTCCGGTCTAATCTGGCCAGCATGCTATTTCTCCTCCCCTTCCTTCCTGAGACCTCACCCAGCCTTTCTTTGGCACTGCAGCAAATTACAGATTTTTCTTTGAAGCTCTTATTGGACCCAGATTTTTCTCTAAAACCCTTTTTGGAACATAGAAGACTATTTCTTAGATTTCAAAGCTCTACTGCATGAAAATTTAAGCAGGTTGATCCTGTAAAAAAAAAAAAAAGGTTTTCTTTAAAAAAAAATGCTTATGTTTAAAATCATTATTCTACCTTCATTGTTCTTAAACTTTAAATGAATGTAGAAATCAGCGTGGGCTTGTTTAAAATGCAGATTACAGGGCCCATTTCCAGAAATTCGAATTGAGTAGAAACAGAGAGAGGGACAGAAATCTGTTTCCACAGCACCCCAAGTGACTCTGATTTAGGTGACTCATGGAAACATACATTTTGAAAGACACTCTTGATTGGATAGTATCCACACTCACTTGTGAGGATGGGCTGAAACTTCGGTCAGTTTTGATAGATGCTAACGGTTGACTGGTTCTCATCAGCCGGATGATGGGTCTCTGATACTCTGCTCCTGCTGTAACCATACTGTAGGCTGGGGGGACCACAGTGGTTTGTTTCTGCAGTAACTGTAAGATGGTCTGGATGTCAGTGGTCATTTGGGATTCCAGCCTGCAGAACAGATAGAAGTAGGGAAAGACAGTCCTAAAAAAGTCCAGGATTTCAAGAGTATTAAAAAAAAAATTCAGCACTACCAGCAAACAGAATTATGGCCTTGCTTTAAACAAGAAGGACAGGAGAGGGAGCACAGAGATTCTTTCCTGACGGATACTTACTGTGTATGTCTCACTAATGATTCTGATAAAGACTATTGTTTTCCTGCTCATATTAACAGTTAACAGAAAATCAGATGAACAAAATAGACTACATGTTTACTAACCTTCACTGATTTCAAAATGTAAAACACACTGAGAATTTGTTTTTAATCAGTAATTGTCTTTGCTTTTTCATTAGGTTTTACTTAGTTTCTTGTGAACATTTTATTGGCTCTGAAAAAGTAGATTGGTAGCACATTTATTTCATAACTGCAGCACCCAGGATAATTTCTTATGTGTTTTTACATTTATATTACCTTTTTTTTAGCCTTACCTTTTTCCTATTCATATTAAGTATTGTGTGTTATTCATTATATTCTTTAACATTTAATGCTATTAAATACTAAGTTCTTTTTCCCTCTGAATATGTCACGGCCTTTGGTATGTAAGAAGCATACAAAATTTGACTTCACTTGGTTCTAATGACCCATCTGGCCTGCAAAATACCAGTCTATTTTTTTCCCTAAAGCTCACAAGTAGCCAACTGGCCTGTTAATTTTATTCTCATTTTAAATTAAAATTTAAGGGAAAATAGCAAAATATAATTGGTCAGATTCCCTTATTTTGCATGTGTTAACAGCATTAAATACAGAGGAAATTTTGTGGACATAAGAACAGAAAATTTGGACCATATGCCTCTTTAGAAAATTCTTCTAACTGTTCACTTATTTGTGCTGTTTTGCCTCTGAATAAAAAATGGAAAGAAAAGGCCGGGCGCGGTGGCTCACACCTGTAATCCCAGCACTTTGGGAGGCTGAGGCAGGTGGATCACGAGGTCAAGAGATGGAGACCATCCTGGTCAACAAGGTGAAACCCCGTCTCTATTAAAAATACAAAAAATCATCTGGGCATGGTGATGCATGCCTGTAATATCAGCTACTCAGGAGGCTGAGGCAGGAGAATTGCCTGAACCCAGGAGGCAGAGTTTGCGGTGAGCCAAGATCACACCATTGCACTCCAGCCTGGGTAACAAGAGCGAAACTCCGTCTCAAAAAAAAAAAAAAAAAAAAAAAAAAGTAAAATCATAGGATTGATTTTGCCCACTTAAAGTCATTCTTGTTTGTAGAATTCAAAGTAGAAATTAGTGTTTAATTTGATAGACAACATAAACCTGGAAAACATGAGAAAATATCTTTTTTTTAGTTTTTGATATTTTGATATTAACACTCCAAATCTTCCTTCTAAGAATCATAACACATTATTCTTACAGTTTTTCTATAGTTGGTAAATATAGCCATACAGCTTTGTGTCTTCTAAACCAATAGCTATGAATTATACATGACTTTGCAAACGTCATTTTTGCAAATGTCAAAAACATACACTGAAAAGGGAAAAATTGAGTTATCAACTGGTTTATTTATCTACTTTTGTTACCTAAGGGTCTGATCTAATTTTTATGCTTCCAACTAAACTGAGCAGACCCATTAGTTCACTGTTATGTGTTATACATATCTTTCTTTCATTTTACTCTTCAAGTCCCAGCTTATATATTATCTGTACTCAAAAAATCTTTCCTTAGTTATCTCATCAAGAATTACTTTCTCCTCTGAGCCTCCAAAGAAAATTCTACATTCATATGTCATCATAAACATTTCTGTACAAATGTATTCCATCACTAACAGCATTCAGTTGTGAGTGGCTTATGCAATGTCTATTAGAATTGAATGTAAAAAGGATTTTAGCGGAAAGACTGGCAGAAGAATTGCATCAACAAGGGAGTTTCAAAACCAAAAATGAGTCAAAAATTATGGTGACGCTTTTGTCATATAAATCCTTTGCCAAACAGGAGCTGTCTCTGAGAAATAATATCTCTTTATCATGGATTCTACCTATTTGAATAGGGTTTATGAGGAACAAAGCTATTGGAAGGTGAGGCTTCAGCATCCACACGTCCAGTAAGTGCAGCCCACTGCCATGAGTGGGACTCAGGCACATGACAGCTCATGTGCAGGTAAAGTGGCTAGTGCAGGGTGAGGACAGAGACTGTGTCAGTATAAATTAGATAACAGCATAGCCCATCTCTGTCAACTTGACATTATTGTTTGTTCCAGGAAAACTTTGAGAAAAATAAAACTACACTAATAACTAACTTTGCTACTTCAGGAAATGTCTATAAATTGCCTTATTAGAGACAGTAGGCTGTTCATCTCAACAAATAATTTTTAATCAAACTTTATTTATCAAGACTCGCTTCAAGTTCCTCAACTTACTGTGTCCATTAGTCCTAAAGTATATCATAAACTTTGCCCAATTCCAAGTTTATATCATAAACTTTGTGTTCTCCACTCTGAAAGGCCCAGACTCCAGTCCTATAAATATTCTGCTTCTCATTTCCCTTTTGAGATATCACTTACACTCTGTCCAGATGGCAGAATCTCTTTCTGCAGTAATTCTGAATACTTAATTTTGTTTTATTAACTAGTTGTTAGATATAGTCCAACAAAAGGGAGAAGTTTACTGGTAAGTTTTTTCTATGCATAGGGTTGTATTTCTGTGTTTATTAAGCTAAGACAAGGGTCTGTTAGCTTAATAAGAATGGACTCTTGGGCCAGGCACAATGGCTCATGGCTGTAATCCCAGCACTTTGAGACGCCAGGGTAGGTGGATCACTCATCCTCAGGAGTTCGAGACCAGCCTGGGCAACATGGCAAAACTCTATCTCTACAAAAAGTACAAAAACTAGCAAAGTGTGGTGGTGTGCATCTGTGGTCTCAGCTACTCAGGAAGCTGAGGTGGGAGGATGGCTTGAACCTGGGAGATCACAACACTGCACTTTTGTCTGGGTGACAGACTACAGAGACAGACCCTATCTAAAAAAAAAAAAAGAAAAAGAAAAGAGAACTCTTCTATTGAGACTAAAAGGCCTGCTTTAGGAATTACAGCAAATTTAAAATAAATCCAGCTTGTTATTTAAAAGCGAAAATAACATAGTTTTAGAACTTTTTCTTCTGTCAGCATCATTATAAAGCTGTGTAAAGTGAATAATTTCATTTCATTCACTCATTCAGAGACCCACAATGTACCAGGCACAATGTTAGGTAGGAGGGTGAGGGAAGAACATGATAATGAACAAACATGAAATCTGATTTCACATTGCTAACAGGAACTAACCACTTAGGAAAGACAAATGAAGGGAATGCATAAATAACCACAACACTAGGCAAAACAAGTGCTCAATGCCATACTAGAGACATGTAGATAAATTGCTCTGTGTGTAATTGAAGGAGTCATTCTAACAGTTTTTACATTTTCTAGTGCTTCCCTACTCAAAGTATGTGTTGTGTTTGTGTGTGTGTGTGTGTGTGTGTGATGGAGTCTCACTCTGTCACCCAGGCTGGAGTGCAGTGGTGCAATCTTGGCTCACTGCAACTTCCACCTCCTGCGTTCAAACAATTCTCTGCCTCAGCCTCCAGAGTAGTTTACAGGCACCCACCACCACATCTGACTAATTTTTGTATTTTTAGTAGAGATGGGGTTCTACCATCTTGGTTAGGCTGGTCTTGAACTCCTGATCTTGTGATCCACCTTTCTCAGCCTCCCAAAGTCCTGGGATTACAGGCATGAGCAACCGCGTCCACCAAAGTGTGCTTTTTAGATCAACAACACTGGACATTGCTGGGGGCTTGTTAGAATGTGGAATCTCTTCCAACTAGGGCTTTTAACTTGGAATCTGCATTTTAATAAGATCTCCAAATGATTCAAATACACATTGAAATTCGAGACACAGTGCTCTAGGATCAGGTCTTAAAGATTTACCTAAATGGGTATATCTGCAGGCGTAACATATAAATATAGAAGAACATTTCTTATGTAAACCTTTAACCGTATCAATCATATAGGTTGATCAGTCATTGAAGCAGAAAAGAAGTGGTAGTAAGGACCTTTCAAGATAGACCATTTTATTTGTTTTTATTGTATTTTGTACTTAATATGTGTATTTGAATGAGACAAATGGTGTAGGAATTTACAGTTCTACATTTAAACACATGCCAAAGTTAAACAGGGTAGACCCAATTCTAGAAAACTCTTTCCTTTGTGTAAAGTAGAAGTCTGGGTTGAGCTGCCCCCTTCAAACTTTTTTGTACACATTTAGCTTGTAGAATAAAATAGAGGTGAAAGTTTGTTAGAAACAGCAGTAGAGTAAAAATGTAATATTTTGGATTTTTAAAATCCAAAACAAGCAAAAGAAAAAGTCTGTGAAAATATCAGAGATAATTGGAAACAAATGTCAAAGAAGATGTAGTATTGGTGGTAGTGTCAACCTGAATAATGAACAGAGGCACTCTAAAAGGAAAAGACATTTATATGGGAATATGCAATGCAATAGGAATATTCATGTCATAGTAAACTATGCACTCATTCTGTGAGGTAAAGACAGATATTTTTTAAAGAAAAATTGGGGAAGACTGCATGATTGTTTTGAAACGATTATTCTTGGCTACAAAGGTCAATAACAAGGGTGACGCTGGGCCGAGATTGGACAGGCAGTTTCTGGTCAGATGCCCTTGCAGAAGTACTTTTTGTGTAAGGTTGCAGTGGCTTCTGTGCAAGGTTGTGGTTTTTATAGAGTCTTCGTGAGCGCTTTTGTTATCAGGCACACAACCCTCTCTTCCTGGCCTTCCCCAGCTCTCTTTGTCAGGGTTTTTCTAACATTAATGTCTCTGTTTTGATGTTGACGACTTTCACAGCACCAATTCAAAACATCTTCAGGAAACACATACTGATATCGGGAACATGTCAAAAAGAGATTTAATTGCACTTTGTGGAAAAGTTTTATGTAGTAATAGCAACTTACTAATGTAATAAAATAGCAATAAAAATTTTTATTACTATTGGGTGATTGCACACCAAATGGATCATAGATAAATGTGCCTTTAAAAGTTTACATTTTTAGACCCAGGACATATTGAAAACAAATGTCTTAAGCAATGATGACTTATCCTAGCAGCAGTGACTGGCACCCATGACAGAGCAACCAGGTGATTCTAAAAATCTCAATTTTAGTTCTGATGAAAGGTCCAAGCCAGAAACTATATGTAGAGTAGGAGAATACACTCAGATGAACATCAGTAATAGAAGTGAAGTTCCTTGTTAATCAAATTTTACCTAGCTGCAGGTACAACATCTTCCATTTTGTATAGCATGGGTAGGTCCCATTTATATTATTTTAGTCCTTACAGTAGCATTGTAAGTAGGTATGAGTCAAAGTAGGCAATGGGGGAAAATTTAAATGATTTGACCCAGTCATCTTGTAAGTCATTAAGAAGCAGACTTAGGACCTTTTCCTATGCTCACCAATTGCAAGTACAGTGACAGCATTGTGCTAAATAAATCCCTGCTGCCTTTGTCATTCATTCACTCGTGTGTTCAGTGACAATAAACAACATGGACAAAATGCACAAAAAATTTTAAGCATAGTGAATAAATCAGTAGTTTATACTATCTAGGCAGAACTCATAGATGTGTTAAGTACAGATGAGTAAGCAAGCAGCTTGTTAAATATGGCAGAATTCGTAAGATATATTAAATACAGACAGCATGCTAGTAACCTGCCAGGCATATCAAAGATAGAACTATGTAACAAACAAGAGTGTGGCTTATACATAGAGATGGAAAGAGCAAATTATTCTCATGTCACCTCTAGGCAAACAACTGTCATCCCAAAACGTGGTCACCCATTGGTGATACATACCAGTATCATCGCATTCTGGCTCCATGTGTGCTGTACCTGTGAAAGGCTGATGAAACACATGGCTGTTGAGCTGGCTAGCTGGAAAGCCACAGCTGAGGTCACGTATATTATAGCTTGTATCCTTGTTATGGAGCAAGTGTGTGCCACTGGCACAGGACATTATTTTTGTCTGAAGGCCTGCAAACCTCAACTCTGGTCTTGGTAACTTCAATATATTACGGCAAATACACGAACATTGTATAAGTCAGAATTGGGGTAATGCAGTCCTTTCACCATGCTTGTGCATATTTGAAATGTGTTAATTACCCCATATGGTTTCCATCTTCTCTCATTTGTGCTTTAAATTGATTTAATAAATCTTGTGATTAGAGCATTTTAATTTAGTCATTGCAGTTTTTTTTTTTTTGTCTGGGACTGCTGGAATATCTTGCCTGGTGGTGAACTAAAAGAAACCACCCAGACTTAGGGGAAGGGATTACCTCCTCCCTAAACTGAAATGTATTCTTCATGTTAAGTGGTTTAGATCAAAGGGGAAGGAAACAAGAAACTCTGTGGGATTTTCAATTCAATTACATTTTTTGACAAGCTGACTGAATAAGTGAAAGTTTAAATCACTTTGTCAGTATTTTTTAAATGCCCTAACACATAACCAAGCTTCCAGGGACATACAAAAAAGTGTAAAACGAGGATTAAAAGAGGAAGGGTGTTAGGTTATGAATTCATTAGGAATTATCTTGAGAGGGGAGGAGGGGGCTTTCTAAGGCAGCCAGTGCTGGTGAAATACTAATTGGATGACAAGTAAAGAAAAAAATAGGATTTATGCTGCCAGAAGTATCAAGTGTTCTAAATAAACGCTCCTTTCAACACAAATTGTTAATTCTGTCAACTTCTAGTCTTATTTTAAAGAAGTAAGTGTATACAGAAATTATGAGATTATGGCAAGAAGAATCTTCCATTTGTAAGGAGTAAAACTGTACCCATGCAAAAGCTTGGGTTATGCTCTCCTTTTGCCCTGTCGCTGCTTATACCTGTTAAGTTGTTCCTGAAGCAGATCTAATCTTTGTTCCACTTCCCCATATGTGAGGTCACTTTCGGTTTCAGAGATACCCCAGGCAGCTCGCTGCTGTGCAGATGAACTGGAGTCTTCAGGCTGGGGATGTGCATTTTCTCGTTCCCAGCTTCTCATGTCAGTGATGTCTGCGGAAAACAGCAAGATGGATGTCAAGCCTCTTAGGTGCCTTTTTGTGTCAATAACACATAGATATCCACAAGACAAGCTGGAAAGGATTGGAGTATAACCTGAGAGACAGAACAAAAGTGTTCAGTGATGTGTCCAGGGGCCACGACCAATTGGTAACAGAGTCCCACTCTCACTCTGCTGGCCCTACCTCCCATATCAATTTCCATGTGAACAAAAACATGTAGCAGGTCCTGAGTGTTGATTAGGATTTTGTTTTCTTTCTGTTTGTGCTAGGAAAAGAGAAGAACAGCCAAACCAAAACTAATTAGAGAGCAATAATTCTGTGCTTTTCTATTAGGAAAGCAGCAGCATAATTTGTTTGCACTGCATTACCTAGGGTTTAAGATTTTTAGGCCTCTTTTCCACAGGATAAGTTGCATAGATATGACAGAGTGGGCGCAAGAAAAGAGCCTTAGAGAAGTGCTGATCTTCAGGGGGATTCCCTTCAGCCAGCCCAACTCAAATACAGCCAAGGGCCCTAAGCCATGAAAAATGGGAAGAGTCTAAAAAGTCCCTGGGTCCCCAGCTACTTTTTCATGTTTTCATGCTTTCTTGTAGCCCCTTCTGTGCTGCCCTTTACTATAATTGCATTGTTTTCTAGTATGTTTTTCTTGTGGTTCTTTTATTTTAAATATTGCTATGTAACTCTACTTTAAAATAAACTATTTGTTCAGGTCTACTATTAAAATGTTCTAAGTGTCTATTATGGGCCAGACACTTGATAAATACAGAGGAATTAAGGAGAAAGGAGGCCATAGATCCTGAACTTGAAGAATTCAGTCTAACAGGGTTGTGATCACTTTTACATAGATATTCATTTTCTAAACTTCTTTTAATTTCCTATTTCTCCTACAATCTCTATTTTTAAGCTGTCAACGTTTGGGGGCAAATATGTCCTTCCCCCCTCATTTTTGTCATACGTTTTGGATGCTTTTGCTGATCTCTTAACCTCTAAGAATGATTAACCAATTGGAAAGTAAGATTCATGAGAAATACTACTGGAGCTGGGAGTCGACTTTGGAGATGAATGAGAAACATTTTTCTTCACTGGGAGGGCTAGTAGGAAGGAAAGACTATCTAAAGCTGGTATTCATTTTCACATGGAAAGAGATTTGAATACAGAAAGTGATTTTGTTTTGATAGAAAGGCTTAAAAAAACTTGACAAGTATCTATGATTAAACACTGAGAAAAGTTATGTAAAGTTATGGAGTTCTTGGCTATTTAAATTTGGACAGAAAGCAACTGAATTGGGTAGGATTAGCTATGATTTTAGAAATAGAAAACAAGACCATTGGACGTCTCAAAGTTCCTTCCTTTCCTACAGTTTCTCCAGGGGTAGTTTAAATGCATCCCCTTTTCTCCAAGTAGAAGACAGACATGTCGATATTCTTTCTTCATGGTTTTCCTCTCACTCACTATCTTTTATCATTGAATATACAGAAATTTCTCAAATGAGGTGTCTATAATTTCTGCCTGAGTAGGGTGAGGCTTAACAAAGGAATTAGCATATCCAAAGTCAGCATTAGGAAAATATAGAATAAGAGTTCCTTCTTGGGCAGAAATGGCTAACAGACCTCAGAAGGCTTGCTTCGAATTCCAGAAAGACTCTTCTTGACTACATCTTTCTTACTATAGGGATCCTGGTTTCATTATTTAAAGTGGCAGTTTACCATTTCTTTTGACATTTTACCAAATGTGGCAAAATATATGTGAACCAAATAAGATATTGTTGGAGTTTTAAGCCATTTATCTGCAGATTTTCACTGAGAAGTAGTATTTGTTATTTACAGACATTTGAACCTGTTTAAAATGCAAAACAATAATGTCTTACCAAACTGAGTTTTAAAGATTGGACCAACAATGCTAAATAAACCTCCAGAGTGTCTATATAAATGGTTTAGTGATGCTGATGCTTGTCGCTGTCTAGTCTGCTGCTAGCCAGTTAATGTAAAAAATCTTTCTTTGGAGAAAACAAGAACTAATAAGATTGAAGTTACATGTTATGATCACAGGTTTTGTGTAAAGAAAGCTTACAGCATTTCTGCCTATGTTTAACAGCTCTCTTCTTCCAAATGATATAAAATAAATTGATTTTTAAATGACAATGGTGAATCACATGCAATGAATTATGGAGGATTATATGTTTTCTTCAGGGATCAAAAAAAAAAGAATTACCTTATTAGAAATGAATGAAATGTACACTCTTATGGTATACATATAATTCCATGATTATAATTTACTCTTTTATTAAAATCTGAAGATATGTAATTAGCTTGTTTTAACAGCAATATAAAAAATGAGGAGTTCAAAGGGGGAAATCCTGGTTAGTGATCTTAATCAAAGGAACATCCTTGTAGACACTTTCTAAATATAGCTCAGAAAGAATCTGCACTTGGTTGCCTTGGAAAATGTTGCTATAGTTGCAAGACACATTTCTGGAAATGGATGAACAGAAAGTAAACTTCACTTTGCTCTGAGTAGACAATTTTCCTAGAGTCAACTTTTGACCTCAATCTAAGTAGCAACAGAGTCCATTTAATTTGTTCTCTTTTCATTTTAGTTTTGCCTAAATGTGCCCCTCTGTTGGATTCAGCATTACAAATGTCGGGAATTTGAGTGAGTGAAATTTCCTATTGATAGCGAAACTAAAATTTGCAGGGGTTTAGTAGTTTGATCTGCAGCATTGACAAGTCACACCTCATTTATTAATGCAGTATGTCACCTTAAAGATCATTAGGGAATGAAATTTGCAGTGAATAAAATTTTAGAATTCCCCATTGGTTAATGATACTAATTAGCCAGGCTAACCATGTGTCACACTGATTGAAGCTATATGATTGACATCAATTCAATTGACCTGCATATTTAGCTATACATTCTCAAGATAACTATTATTTGAATAGGGATTACCCTGTAAATTTTTTAATATTAGAATATATAGGTATTAAATTTGTTAGAATACTATATTTGCATATATGGAAAAGCTAATTAAAGAAAGTTGGAAGAGGTAGCAAAGAAAAGTATAAGAAGAAGGGCCTGAGAATTCATTGTCAGAGAGAGTCATTATACAGTCAGAAAATCCCCAAACTATATCTTTAATAATTTGCCACCTGAAACTCTAAAACTCAAGAGGAAAAAAACAAGCAATTTTTTAGGTTCACATTATGTTGACCTTTGGAGATGGTAGAGATGGTTCAGCAAGTTCTTCAGAACTTCTGACTTCCATAATACAACCTGTTTCTATTTTTAGCACTTCCCAGAATCCATTTTCATAAATAACTAAAATAGGACATTTGGTAATCACATTTAATATTCCATTCTTCCTTTGTGATAAATGAGGTACTATTTTCATTCACTTCATCAAGCTTTTAGATCGTCCAGAGAACACTTGCATATATTCTTGGCTTACTTCAATGTGGGGTCATGAAAAAGTGGATGTGACATGATAGAGAGAGCAACTCTTGCAAAATATAAAGCCTAAACATCCTAGATTCAATAAAATCTTTGTAGCTAAATATGATATTTTGGAATAATGAGGATAAGTAATATTTACTTACTCTGCATTAATGTACTAATTTTGCTATCCTACCAAGCCTAGAACTTCCTATTTTCCCTTCATTTTTTAAATATTCTTTTGATGCTTTGTTAGGCTTTCTTAATCTTTATATTTCTATACATCCAGGGATATATTAAACTATTAAAACTTGAAAAGTAAAGCCTGTGAGAGAATACTAACAGTTGGGGACTTTATTTCAGAAAAAGTACTTTACATGTTATCTTAATAACCACAGCCTAGTTGGTTAAATAATAGTATTCCTCTTTTAATGATGCTAAAACTGAGTCTTGGTGGGTTTGATCAAATCATTTACCCAAAGACATAAAGGGAGCGAGTGTCAGAGCTGCACCTGGAACCCAAGCAGTCTGACCCCCACCTGTTACTGGTACTACTTACTAGGTAGATCTGTAGATCTAGCCTCTGGTATGCTAAAATAGTTTTTCTTCCATGTAATAGTTCTTTATGTTTTTCAGAATTTCTCATTTTTATCATTAAACCTGCAGCTACTAATCAAGCATTATTACTCAACTCATGCACACTTCCTACAACAAAATCTATTCATTTGGGTATTCCTTTTGGTAGGGATGCTAAACCAGAGTTGGATTCAAGACCATACTCTATTTCAAGCCATTTTTCCTAATCTTTCTCATATTTTCTGTAAAATTAAATTTATTTAGCATGTATTACAGTGTGATTGCATTAGCCTTTCATAGTATAATATTATAAGGTTGGGGGTGAGAAATGGGTACAAAAGATACATATAAAGGACCAATTGGTTAGCTGACTGAAAATACTCATTGATCCTCTCTCCCCATTGAAATCACTACAACAGACTTTCCCACAGTTTTCTACCTGACATTATATTGAGTCTGGTTAGTCATGAAAACCTCTCACGCTGGAAGTTTTTGGGCATAATTACCACTTGTTTTAGAATAGTGCGAACACTTGGTAGATGATCTGAAATCTGAATGCTTCACGAATATTTCATGAAGATGAAAACAATTAGATTAACATGTGTCAGTACAGTTCTTAATTTGTAAAAAGTCACCATTTGTGATTAGCACTGAAGAGAGATCATCTGATGTCTAACTCTGGATTACCTTTGCAAGAGTGACTTCTTTTATCTATGTGCATTCTTCCTGAGGTGGGCACTGTTTCTTCAAAATCGAGCCCAGATGCTTTCCCTATTCCTGGAGAAGAATCTACTATTCCTGAGAAGAGCGGCTTTTGTTCATCATCAATGGAGGAGATGAAAGATGACGATCTGCTTTTTTTTTCTTCAAAGTGTCTCTTGGAACTCTGATAATGTCTTATGGTATCTGCAGAGTCTTCAGGATCATTTGTACTGTTTTCTTTGCCAAAATATATCAAAGAAAAGTTATTTTATAGCAGATAATTAAATGTGAGACTGTATGCATATTACACTACCTAGCTGTATATAAACTATGTATATATAGTTTATATATAGCTTTCTCCTATTGAAAATGTAGCTACTTGGATACTTAAGTTTTTAAATTCAAGGGTTATTAGATTATCTTAGTGAAATAAATTATTCATTTCAAAATTAAAAGAATATTTACAATAGTATTAATATTTATGTATCAGAAGAAAACTGTAGGATAACTTACAAACTTGTTTAATTTGCTCAACAGTTATTTGTATTCTGAGAATCTGGTACACTGTTTCTTTAGGGAAGTGAAAAAGACAAGGGAAAATGGGTCCCAATTTTAAAATATCACGACTATGCAACTTGTTACTTGTTTCTTTTTAACCTCCACGTCCTATCATCTGTTTCATTTGCTCTTTCATTGCAAAGGTCAAAATTGGAAGCCTCCTTGTAGTAAAAGGCTGGCAGGCTGAATTTCAACCTTAGTCTGATGCATGTAATGGCCTTGGCATTCCAGGAAGTTTGGTTGTGTAGCATAAGGTAAAGAATATAAAGCTTAAATACAGTAATTAAGGTAGGTTTTACCTAATTACATTAATGCTGGTAGTACATATTGGTTGTTTTATACTGAAATGTCAGAATAATTTCAGTCCTGAAGGTTGTGTTAGAACATATTTCAGCAGGAAAAACTCAAAGAGACAAATCCAAGAACTTGTTTCTATTAGTGTCCTGGGGAGACAGTATAATTCTCCATCTGTTTTCTGTTAATAACTAACCAACAAAACTCCAGAAGGTATATCATTTTCTGGAGAAACGGTGAAGACAGTGTCCCCATCCACTCTGCTCCTGAGTGTGCTTATTTGATTATTTATAGAAGGCCAAATGAACCGATGGAAGGCAATGCCAGAGAAACTTCTAACTGTCTTTAAAAATTCCCATATGGCATAGAAATTCAACAAAGATTTTGTCCCTTTATTTTTTTTAAATCATAATTTAAAATATGAAAAGCCAGAAAGCAGCCCAAGGTAAAAGGAGATAAAATTTAAAAATCAGCTTTATGTATAATTGTTATTGAGGTGTTTATGTTCTGTCAATTAAAGTTAAATCTAGCAAAAGCAGATTGTTTATTTTCTTTAAGATTTCATGCCTGCTCAGTGATTTCATCATTGCTGAGAAAGCCACAGACCTTTCTGAACTCCAGTGTTACAGACATCATTGATTACTTACTGCTACTTGTATATCCTCACTCAATCACTAATCTAATTGGTTGTAAATAATCGAATCAAGTATTCTTACAAAAAACCTTTTCTCTTCAGTGTCATTGGCATGGACTTCCTTAAACCTTTAAACTTCTATCTTGCCATCTTTTTCCCAACTTAGTTTTTAACTTCTCCCCTTCTCTAAAGCCCTCTAAAACTTTGATAAATGTTATCTACTTTTTGAACATATTTTATTCCTTAAAAAATCTGGGTGCGGTGGTTCACACCTGTAATTCCCGCACTTTGGGAGGCTGAGGTGGGTGGATCACAAGGTCAGAAGACCAACCTGGCCAACATAGTGAAATCCCATCTCTATTAAAAATACAAACATTAGCCAGGCGCTTGTAATCCTAGATACTAGGAAGGCTGAGGCAGAGAACTGCTTGAACCCAGGAGGTGGAGATAGCATTGAGCTGAGATCCCACCACTGCACTCCAGCTTGGGCAACAGAGCAATACTCTGTCTCAAAATAAATAAATAAGTAAAAATTAAAAAAAATAGTTATAAACTTTAGGCTAGTAAATGTGAAAAAAAACAATAAAGAAAGTTTCATCTGTCTAAATTGTCCTCATACCTGCTTTGTGAATTGCACCAGTTTGCGCCTCCTAAGTAAATCTTTTTGTAGTCCCTGACTTGGGAACCAAAAATATTTGAATCAGCTCATGCCTCCTATTTTCTCAAAAATGTCTTCATTTCTACACTTTTGTGGAATGTTTTCCAGCAGCATCAAATGTAAGCTGAATTAACCATTAATTCATATGCTTCCAATCGAAACCTGGATAGTGCTAACATGGATATTGGTAATGAATGTACCTCACAAGTTATATCACTTTGTCTCTCTGGCTTGAGAGGTCTTGGGGAATCCTTACACATGGTAGAATGTTCTGTTCTACCTACCACTTCGGGCTCCAGTCTTAGTTTGCTAATTTATGACTTGATTTTGGATGCGTACGAACCAGATTCACCAGTTAACATGTATTGTTAAGTTGAATTATAACTTGGTGATTTCATCTTGAACATGTATTTACAAAATGTGGTGAATGAGAAATTACAATCATTTAGTTTTATAGTAAAATTGAGAAAATTTCTTTGCATACATAGGACAGAATTCTTTAGCAAAATTTCAGGTAAAAGCAGAATTTGGTAAAAGAAGAAGTAAAAATTTGATATCCTTGAATTTTCCCCATTGGTAAGGAGAAAAAAAAACCCAACCCCTACTTTATTTCTGTATTCATTGCTGCTGGACTATCACCCAAGCCATATGAACAATTTATCTGATACAACCCCACTGCAAAAGCATTTTTCCATTCCATACTAGATAAATTAAAGCTTCATTTTCTGCCACATAAAATGAAAGTTGAAATGACAATCTATTTGTGGATTAAAAATGGAAACTGTTCAGGCTTTGGCTGGAAAATTGATTGATGAAATACGTACATGAAATTGGGCAGCTGAAATGCGTTGTAATTAGCCTCCAGGTCCTTCTAAATTTTGATGGACTATACTATTTTTGCCTTTTTCTAGTTAAACTGAATTATTTGATAGACATTAAATAGCAGCAGCTACTATTTTTTTCTTACTTCTATTTATATTCTATGTAGAAATAATATTCTAAGGGCAGTTATCTGATTGCATAATCTCTCCGGTTACCATCATCTTATACAAAGAAAAATTCTTGCCTGCATAATTAAACCTCAAATTTCCTTTTGATTCACAAGATGAAAAACCTCTTTTTCTCCCTTATTTTTAACAAAAACAAGGTAAACAGTTCATCTCCTCCACTTTTTCCACAGGACACAATTCTAAAGCATTTGTGACTTGTCTGATGAGTGTCTCTCTGGGTTTAGAATGGATTCAAGAGCATAGAGTAACTGTCCTAATAGAATGGCTGACCCATTTATCTTAGGAATGATAATATAAAATCCTTCCTTTCAAAAACCTGGAATAAACATTTGTGCTCACTCCATCATTTATGGAGTCTTCCTCTCAGATTAATTACCATTTTTATTTGTCAGACCCAAAAGGGAGACTGGTCAAAGAGAAGCATTTAAGGTGCTCTCTCAGCATTTGAGTTTTAGACTCCCACTGGCGACAATTTAGAAATAGGTTGAGAAATTCCCAGCCAGATGCCTTGAAAAATTATTACATTGTAAAATTGGTGTTTAAAATATATTTTTTTATTTAAGATCACATACGTTAGACCCCCCATAGCTCTAAAGGATGTTGAAAGAGGACTAGATGCATATGTTTTATACAAATACAAAAATTAACAATTTTAAAAATTAAAATAAAAGATGCATTTGGGGAAACTTTGGTTTAGAGGTTAAAAGTTTCAGATATGCATAACGGATAAATTTTGGCACTTTATTGTATAGTATGGTAACTATAGTAAATGTATTATATACTTGAAAGTTGCTAAGAGATTAGATATTAAATGTTCTCCTGACACACACACACACACACATACACACACTGTTAACTATCTGAATGATGAGTGTTAAATTAGCTTGAGTGTGATAATCATTTCATAATGTATACAAATATGAAAACATCACTTTGTATACCATAAATACATACTTTTACATATCAATTATACCTCAATAAAGCTTGAAAAAAATCAAAACATACTTTTATAGATCACTAAAATAGATAACAAAAAGCTAAGCATTATTTGTTATTGAAGAAGATATTTCAAACACATACCAAAGTATAATACCAATATATTTAAATAATTTAATAAAACTAGAATAGAATTATCCCTATTCTATAAAAACAAGTTTATCAGTGAATACATTTACCCCTTCAATAATTTTCAGTGGAGTAATTTTATTTTGGAGAATTACTTTTAAAACTTACTGGTTTTTGAATGGCAATGCAAAATCACTAAACCAGTATTGTAAAGTGATAGCATTTGTTGGTATCCTTTGAAATGCAAAATGTAATGAGTTCAAGACACTTTCACTCTATTTTCTAGAACATTGGATTTTTCCTGTTGAGTAAATATTGAAGAGCTCATTTTAATAAGGTTATATGGATAGGGAAATGAGTAAAGTTTTCTTTCCTACTCTTGGGATGTATGTATCTCTTGAAAAGCATTCTTGTTTGTGTTCATGCATGCAGACTCATTTCGTCCAGTCTTTCACACTGATTTACAACTCTTCAGTTGTTACAGGCAGATCTTTTACACTGTTTCAATTTTTTACTCTTGTGACTTTTTTTATTTTGTCTTTTTTGTTTTTCATGCTTAGCAGTTTGTTCTTTACAATGGAGCATATTGTGAAAATATATTAGTGAAAGTAAGAGGGTCTTTGGAGCTCTGAGAATTGTTTCCTAGATTTTGGAAATCAAGAGGGTAAGAATATTTCCAGGTTAGGAAGGACAAACTCAATATTCTTTAACTTCACAGGCCAGTGTCCCTTTTGCTAAGAAAAATTATTTTCTTTCTAAGTCAATAATTTTTTCAAGTCCTATTTAATTGAGGCTACTTGCCAACTTTATTCTTGAACATTGTTCTTTATGCTTTTGGGAAAAGAAGTAGGACAAGATATAGAGAAGGGATATTAAGAAGAGTGGGTTCAGATACTTCTGCAGAGTTCTGATGGGGAATAGGAGGCAAAGGAATCAATGCCAAATCTGTTGGTTTGGGAGATGTGACCTCAGGTGACCTCAATGCTTTAGTAAAAAATATAGCAAGAGGATTTCTCTTAAAATGCATAACATCAGTGAGAACTAATTTTCACAATGTTTGATAAGTTTCCAAGGAATAAAACTAATAGAGTAAAAAGTTTCCTCTTCAAGGTTCTCCTTTTTTCTACTTACTACTTGTTACAAAATAGTACAAATAATTTCTGCAGAATTCTGTAGAAACAATTTTTTCTGCTAAAGTAACTAGAAAATGTAATGAAAATTAAAGAGGATAAGTATGCAGATACTAATTACAATTCAGAAGGAATTTCCATTTGTCTCCTTGTTAACCAATGAGAAATTTTCTTGAAAACGTTGAGACAAACTTTTGAAAACTAAAGTAGAAATAAACATGAAAAGACTCAGGGCACTTAGCAGACAGCGGATACTCAATGATAATGGACTCCAAGTAACATGGGATTGTTTGTGCCAGGTTACATTATTGCCCTCACTGGATTATTCTCTGCCAAAAAGTCACAGGCACCCTAATTAGCCATTAGTAGCCACTTGGATGCTGTATTTTCTGTCAACAGAAAGGGTTGAGCAGCACACTGCAAATATTTGGTCATATAAGCCCTGTAAGTAAACATACATAAATGTTTGTGTGTAGTGTATAGTGACACTATATATATATATATATATATATACACACACACACATTTATATATTTTATAATATATAAAATATTACATACATGTGCATATTTAGATATAATAGATACATGCTATTATACAAATAAACCCTGTATATTATACAATACACACAACATAGAATTTTAGAAGAATTATTACTCTTATGGCTTATTGGACCTGGCTCATACTGGAGTAGGCACAGTCCAACTTTTAAGACCATGTAAATAGAAGTGATTTTTAATCATTTTTCTCGTTTATTTCTCTTCTGCCTGGTCATCTTAACAATGTTCATGGCCACTGAGCAGATCATTGAAGCATCATTTTTGTTCTTCACTTCTGTAATAATATTGTACTTCCATCTCAGGAACTATAGCACTTCTTTCTACAATGAACATTGTCATATTGGGGAGGTCCTGGGCACCTCTATGCCAGAATTTTAGGAATAAAAGATACCTACTTGAAGAAACCTTTAAAAATATAAGGTTCTCTCAAATTTCTACCTGAATTAACAAATCTCTCCCATAGGGAAGTAGGCTTTTTCCTTAGACAAAAAATATACAACTCATGAGAACAAGCCACTCTCATTGACAAATTTATTATGTATTCAATATGAGTGTATAATTTGTTTTTCAGTTTGCCAGAGGTTCCAGATATTTCATTTAAAAATTGTATCTTATTCAATGTGAGCTCTTTAGCACCTTATGGTAGGCATGATTGGAAGTGGAGTGGCTGGAGGCAGGTGTGGATTGAAGCCTGAAAATTTCCGTTGTTCCACTCAATAGGTAGAGAGTGGCAATGCAGGACTCAAACTTTGTCTGCTGCCAGTGACCAGCAACACGGTCTTCCCTCTGGTTCTTGATGCCACAGATGATTTACAGTCATCAACACTCTTGAATGTCTGTCTTCAAGGTTTCCTTTCATATGAACAATGAACTAATACTACATAAATGAATGCATTTCAAGGGAAGATTTCAGTTTCTGTATCCACAAATCGTTTAGCATCAACGATCCCCTGAAAGTTCTCTGTTCTTTATATTATGTGTATTTTTCTCGTATATGTTGATGCTACAACAAGAAGTATATAATGAATGCCTACCTTAAGAGCATTAGATTTGGATGACCAGGACTAAATTGATTTCAGCAAATTTTATAATTGCCTACAACACCCTGGATTCCTAAAGACTTTGGAATAGGCTCTTGGGCTCTAGCTAACTGGAGTTGTGTTTCCACATTGACCAACTCAAGGTAACTTACTGGCACAACCAGGAAACTTCAAAGAGCTGTAGGCAGAAAATCCCTTAGCATCTATACTTTATGTCTAGTTGCATGAGCACAGTACAAATTGTGACATTGCTCTCAGGGCCTTATCAGGAAATAAAAACATTAGATTATTTTAGCTTAAGAATGAGGAAACAAAAAAAGGTTGAAAGGAGATTAAACAAATCTTTAACTATGTGGAGGACATTATTATACTGACAACATTGTTAACCTGTTTTTCATTTCCAGTGAGATAAGAGATGAACTTCAGGATAAGGAATTTAGATTAAGTCTGTGGAAGAACAGATTAATAGTAATGGTTCTGATTTTAGAAAAAGTCACCAAGAAAATAATTAAAGACATTGCAGAACAAAATGATCAACTATCTATGAATAGTCTGTAGTTCTGCAATCATCCAGGGGAATCAATAATTAGTCCAATTCAACAAATATTTCTCAAACATTCTTTGCTAAAGTAATCTACAGTTTAGCAAAGGAAGAGGAAAAAATATACCAGCCATTGTACCGAGCATATTTGGACAATATTATAAAAAGTAAGTGCTTTGAAAATTCATAAAAGAAAGAGAAACTTTACATGTGAGGAGATAAAGAAACAATTCACACTAAATATATCATTGGAGATATTGATAAAAATGTAATTTTAGTGAATGAAACTGGTATGGAATGATATTGTGTATGTATGTGTGTGCAGGTGTGTGTTTTTGAGAATGGGGAAGCAAATTTTAATGAAAGGAATAGTATAAGCAAAACCAAAGAAAAAATGTACATCGAGGAGTGGGCAGTTTGTTTCCATTGAAATGTAGAGCAAGCTAAAGCTAGTAGATGATCTCTTCTAGAAAGAGGATTCATAGAGGAGAAAAGATGTGAAAAAAAGAACTTGGCATAAGAAAGCAATGAAAGGGAAAAGAATAAAAATGAAGATGCTCAAATTATATTTCATTTATTCTTTCCACAGATATTTGTTGAGCATCCGCTGTGCAGCAAGCACTAAAACTACAGGTGGCCAAATATTTTCCACTTCCACAGAACATATGATCTAGAGGTGGACAACATTGATTAAATAATGATGCAAATAAACCCAGAAGTACAATTGGATTAAATGTTGCTGAAGAGATGAACTGATGGGAAAGGAGAGGAGTGATGGGAGTAGTTAAGGGAAGCATATTATGAGATAAGACTGAAGAGGTAAGTTAAGACCCACCCTATTAAGTATTTAGGGCATGGGATGTCCTTGGAGGGCTTTGAATATGTGAGTGACATAAAAATAACTGCATTTAGAAAAAAAAGTCACCAGAAGTCCAGTGTGGAATAGAAGAGAGAGGGGCAAGTTGCATGTGGAAAGGCAAGTTGGAAGGCTTCTTCAATATTCCAGGTGGCAGATTATGGTAGCTTGGCCCAAAGCTGTGGCTAAGGAGATGGGGAGAAGTGAAACAAAAGGAGACCTAGTTTGAAGACTAAATGGAGATTTATTGAAGGTAGTAACAATAGGCCTTATCAACAGAATTGCTGGAGAGGTTGTGAGAAGTTTTGCTTCGAGATACCTGGCTTGTACAATTGGTTGAATAGAGACACCATTTGCACAGGCATGGGAATTGAAGAGGAGACAGGTTTCCATGGTGCACCATGAGCTCAATTTAGGAAATGTTGAGTTTGAACTGCCTTTGAGACTTCAGGTAGATGATTTTATGGACAGATTTTATGGGATATGTGAGACTGAAGCTCAGGTGGTCTGGAATTAACACGTAAATATGCACATCTCCTATGTGAGGATATAATTAAATGATTGACATAAATGGGATCACCCAGGGAAAGAGTATGATATAGAATGAAAATAAAAAGGGGTCTAGGACTATATCTTAAAAATGCCAACAAATTAACACTGCTGTAGAAGATAATAATCTTGAAATTATCCTCAGGGAGTTTATGAAGGTAGGAGGAAAATAGGAAGATTGAAGTATTACAGACGCAAAGAAAAGAGTATTCAAGAAAAAGAGAGGAACTGGTTCATAGTGAAAGAGGCAGCTAAGGGGCCATATAAGGTAAAGACAAGAGTGTTTATTGCATCAGCATGGGGCAAAAGTGGAAGCTTCTTCAGGAAAACTTTCTCTCATCTGCCCAGAACAATTAAATGTACTCTCATCTGGGTTCCCACTGAGGAATACTTATTCTTGTTACAGAGCCTACTATTTAAGGGTGTGTCTACCTCCCTCTCTAGGGAAGATGAGGGATGTTTCGCACAACTTATTTCTCAGAATTTTAAGTAGCTCCTTGAAAATATGAAATGTTAAATAAGTATTTGTTGGCTCTATGAGCAAAGCATAAAAAATAGTCAGAGAAACAGAGAAACCTGGAGAAAACAAGAAGTGACAACTGCCACAGAGCCTGAGGATCAGAAGGACTAATAAATGTGGCCTTCATCCCTGTCATGCATGCTTGTGGGGCATGTAAGAGGATTGTTCTGTTGGTCTGAAATGACAGTCCTCCTTTCAGGACACTGCTCAGAACTATAAGGCATAATCAACTGTTATTAATTAACCATCTTTTAAAAATCGATATACTCTATTTCTTAGTCTGTGATGTCCTTGTGAATATCCGATGGATTTGTTGAATGATATCATTGAGAACTATCAATCAGAAACTGTAAACCAGATTATTGGCTACTGAATAAAGCAAAGGGTCTCCCCTCCTAAAGCCTGAGTAAAATTTACTCTTGAAATCAGAAGTATAATGAACATTTAAGTAAGAAGGTTAATGACCATATCCTCTACATTTAAACTTTAGGAATGGAATGAATTACCTCTCCCTCCTTCACTTTCAGATGACAGTTTCCTTCTCCGTAGTTTACAGTTGTCTCCTTCAGAATCATTCATGGACTGTGATCGTAGGAGATCAGCCTTTGTTAATGGAACAGGACGATAAAATGAAAGATTACTCAATTAGAACATAAGGTACTATCAATAAACTACTATTTCATATTGTTTGAACCACCTTGAGACATTATTAGATTGCAGGCAAATAGCTATAATACTTTGCTTAATACTTGTCACTTAATTATAAAATAAACTGATAGAACAATTTTTAGTACTTTCACCTTTTGCTTAAGATATTACAGTGTAGAAGTTATTTATAAGAAATATTTAGGGATGATGTTGACATTTAAAGACAAAATATTTATTTATGTGGAATGTGTTTTATGTGACCTGATAAAGTTAAAATAAGAATAATACAGTTGATCCTTGAACAATACAGGCTTCAACTGTGCAGATCCACTTATACATGAATTTTCTTCCTCTGCCATTCCTGAGACAGGAAGACCAACCATACCTCTTCCTCCTCCTCAACAGCCTATTAAATGTGAAGATGATGAGATGATGATCTTTATGATAATCCACTTCCACTTAATTAATGGTAAATATATCTCCTTGTCCTTATGATTTTCTTAATAACATTTTCTTTTCTATAGCTTACTTTATTGTAAGAATACAGTATACAAAAAATATATATATAAAATATGTAATTGACTCATTAGATTGTTGGTAAGGCTTCTAATCCACAGTAGGCTATCAGTAATTTAAGTTTTTGTGGAGTCAAAAGTTATATGTGGATTTTCAACTATGCAAGCGTTGGTGCCTTGAATTCCCATCTTGTTCAAAGGTCAATTGCAGTAATTTAAAGAACTTTGCTTAACTTATAGTACTCCAAAGAAAAATGTATAAACTAGTTAAAATTAGCTATGATGTTTAAATGACATGGTAATTATCACAAGGTTAAATTTCACAACAATAAATATAAGGTCGAATTCTATAAACTCTACATTTTGAACCCTTTGTTATTTTGCTCCCAGCTCCTTCTTCCCTCTCTGGTTCATTCTGTCTAATATTGTCTAGCTTGTAAATAAAAATGGAAGCTCCTGTTTATTTGAGTGCTGACTAAACTTTTATATAAAGAAGTTAAGAGAGGTAGGTATTTTTCAAGGCAAAGTCAGAATGAGGTTAGTGACATAAAACCGGGATTGTGACAAATTACTGAATTAAAACCATTATTAAAACATATGCTGTTAATAACTAGACTTTTTCCACCTCAATTAAAAAAAAACTTTCCAGTGTTTTAAAAAGAAATAATTATCTGAACTGGCACATCAGGATATTAAATGGTCTCTAGGGGTCCTTACAATTTCTCTTTCTCTTTTAAGCCTCTCCTGGTACTTGGAAATGACACAAATACCGAAAGTATTAAATCTACCCCCTTTTACCTAACTATTGACTTTAGGATTTTTTCCCCCAGAGAATATATTAGTTACCATTTAAATACATTGGCAAGTATCAGACACTCAATATTTGATTTCTGATTTTAAAAAGCATTCAGAATTGGAGTAGAGTTGTGAAATTTTGGGGGAAAAGGATGGAAGAGGAATAACCTAGTAATAAAACTTGGGTTATAGTATAAGTTTTATAGCCATAGAACAGTAATAGCTCATAAGGGCACATTTTTACAGTAGAAAATTGTGAGAAACATAAGGGCTACACTCGAAGTTTATTCTAGGTTAACTTACATTTATAATTATTTAAACTGTTATTTCTGTTAGACCATATATTCTTCATTCTGCAGCATTAAAACTTACAATGCTGTAAATCCTGACTAATTTGTACTTCTCTGATTTGGAAATTATATTAAATAGAAAACTAAATTTGAAGGAGATTTTTTTCATTATTATTGTGAAGACATTGATAACCAATGTATAGCATAAATGATAGCTGAGAAAACATTTTAACCTCTACGTAAGATAAACTCAAGCAATTTTCAACAGCTTAAAATCATTCATTTCTAGCAAATAATTGGCACACTATAAACAAAGGTTATTTTAACTCAAGTATGTCACCTAAGGGTTTCTACAAGATCAAACAGAATTGATCTACTTGAAATTATGTAACATATATGAAAGCAATTAGGCTGTATTTCTTTCCTTTAATTCATAAATTTTAATATTCACCTGGCCTTTCCTTCCAAGTATTCAAAACTGGCAAACTTTTGCTGCAATACTTTGCTTGATTTTTCAAAAGAATTTGTGCAATTCAAGAATAAAATAAAATGTCAGAAATATAAAAATAAGCAAACAGTTAACATATACCTTTGCACTCTCATGCCTTAGGTTGAAAGTCAACTCTAGGTTTGTTAGAAAGTGATCGGAAAACTCAGGATACATATCCAAAACCTCTAGCAAGTCTTCTCGCTGAATCTTATGCAAGTCACAGTATGTGAGGGCTCTTACATCTGCATTAGACTTTCCAGGTTTGGCATAAAGATGAACCATTTCTCCAAATATATCATTTTTTCCTAAGAAAAGGAAAAGAAAAGAAAAAGAGGCAGAGAAAGGGAATCCAAATTCAATGATTTCCTTCTAAAAGTAAAAGGGGGTCATTAAACAATTAATCAATCCCTGATCCAGAGATTTCAAATGTAAGAGCCAACAGCCCACAGATACTTGGGCAGCAAAGTTTCAGCACCTCAGCTAAATGCCTAGCTCATGTTTGCTGACCGGAAATTTGTCTCTAAGGGTGACTGGTCTTTTTATTTCCTTATTTTGATTATTTGGCTAAGCATCTAAAATGTAGCAAACATACCTTCAGTCCAGTATGCCCCACTTTGCTCACATATAGGGTCTTGCCATACAGTATTTTAAAGATACTTTCAGGTAGGTGTGCTCTGATTTTGTCAATCCAGGAATATGAGAAAGGCCACAGTGAGTCAGATTCATAATCTTTCTGCCTTGGGATGGTCTCTGCAGGTGATGCTGAGCAAGGGGTTATGGTGGCATTGTTTTAACACTTAGTGGATTGGTGGAACAATTGGAACACATCTTGTTTCCTAATACCACTTTTGAACTTGCCCTTAGTAAGTATATCCAATTGCTTAATAAATCTGGTTACATTTTCTCAATGTACATAGTCCTGCTTTTTGTTATATGGCCTTTGTTTGGGAATTTTGTCCTTCTTGCTATTCTGTAAAATCTAGGATTTTTTCAGTGTCTAACTTCTAACAGGCCTTCCCCATCACCTTTGCCTAGTCACATACGACCTGCTTTTCAAGGTCTTATTCAATCAATGACCAAGATAAGAACAACAGCAACAATAACACATATTCATTGAGAACTAATAGGTGCCAGGCACTGTGGCAAATGCTTAGATGTGTTGCCTCAATTTATTCCTAAAATAACTTGATGAAGAAATTACTCACAATTATCCCAATTTGATGAATACAGAAAGCATTAAAGAGATAAACTAATTAGTCTAACTTCACCTTCTTAGCTGGATGAAGTGGAGGGAGGGAGAGAGCAGCCAGAAGTAAATCCTATGCATCCTGACTCCAGAGCCAAAGTTCTTACACACCAGATGATGTATATTTAATCGCCTTCCAATGATTTCCCTGAATGGCATGGCCACTTAGATTTTCCTGTTTCTGACCATCAAAGTACTTAAAATTGTACTTGTGGCATCGATACTTAATAAATACTGATATATTACTTGATTATATAACTTGTAAAGATAATCAATAGCAATGTAAAATAGTACTCTCTTGTATCTATCCTGAAGCTTCTTTTTATTTTTAGAAAAAACTCCTTGGGCATATTATTTTAGTTTTTGGTAGACAACTTCATGTATACTTCACTGTAGAAGCTATCAAAGACTTTTAAATAATAAGGTTCTAATTAATCAAAAAATGCTGTAATATTCTTGATTTACAAGGAAATTCAATAGTGAGAAATTGAACCCCATATCTTAACTTTGTAAGAAATACTGACATTAGAAAGGATACATTAACCACAGTTTAAAAAAATATGTAGCAGCCTTCAAACAAACAGGATAAATGATAATATTTGTAAGGATTTTAGGGGTCGACTTACATGGAAATAGGGACAGAAAAGGGTAATCTCCAGATATTTTTTGTAGTTTTGGTAGCTTAGTGTATATATTACTGCTTTTAAGAAAGCTCTGAACTATATTAAGCATGGGCTTTGTATTTCAATTACCAACATGACTATACATGAGCCAGGAGCAAGCCAGTCCATGGATATGGTTTAGCAACACTCTAAAATTACTACCTGATGAAGCAAGAAAGCTTGTTACCTTCTTGTAGAAGCTAGGACTGGCTGATTTGAAGATTAGAAATGCAATGAAGCATCCTCCTTCCCTGGCAATATAGCAGGGCAAACTGTCCGGGCCAAATCTAGTGAAAACCTAACTTGATTTTGTGACCTTGAAATGATTTAGAATATGTGTTTATTCTTTGTCAGCTTATTGGATAGAAAACAAAATTATACACCTTAGTCAATTTGGTAAATTTAAATAAAATCTAATAAAATAAAATTATCAAAACATATAAGAAAATCACTTGAATATCTTTATTCATGTATTTGAGTTCTATTCTATGTCATACTCTGGTTCTGTACAGCCACAGGGAAAACAAACAACATCCTATCCTATTGGAGATAACTATCAAATGTGAGCATCAAAAACTGAGTGACAGAAAATCATTGAATTACATGCTCACTATTTAAGTAGAACTGAATAATCCACAGGGGAATAATGCAAATTTTTATAGAAGCTAAGGATAGCCATTATCATAGGGAGAGTGAAGCTTAAACCTACCAGCTATGTGGTAGGAGAAGGAAATAATTGACTGTATTTTTCTCTGTTTCATTGTTCTTCCCCACTGTCCTAATACTCTAAAGAAGAACTACAAGTTCACATGGCCTAAATTTATTTTTAAAGAGGCAGATTAAACATGTGCTTTCTTTTCACCCAAACCAGTTGAAGTTATTACTAATTTAATCTCTTTATCACCTCTATCCCTGGTTGTTTTGTTCATAGGTCTATATTAATTACCTAGTTAAGGACTGTATGACTCCATTTCATGAAACAGTAGGTAAAAGTGCAAAAGTGCACAGTGGTTAAATTAAATTCATCAAAACATAAACCCAGTTCATGGCAGGGCTTTGGCACATGCTGGCAAGTATTTCCTACAACACATATATTTTATTTTAAGGTTTTGAGGGATCAAGCATGAAGCTAAGATCATCTAACATAAAAAAAAGAACGTGATTACTATTTCCTTAAATTTGGCTTCAAATGTCTAGGTGGCTGCCAAGAACTTAAAGAGAATCATCGAAGCATTTACACATCGGAGAAAAAGTGAGACAGTTAAGAAAACATATTTTATGTAAGGTTAATTTGGTTTGAATTAAATTTTAAATACAGCTTACAAATTACCCACTACTCTTAAACCGCTCTTATAAATACATGCATCAGTCTTTTTTTCTAATCATTTTAAACTATGCATTACAAGCTAATACTAAATCTGTCACCATGCACTTCTAAAACACTCACCCAGAATAGCCACCACAATGTCATCTTTGAGAATTTCAATGGAGCCTCTGGATAAGAAATAAAGTGCAGTGAGGACATCCCCACAGTGAACGAGGGTGTCTCCTGGAGGTGCATGGGTGGTCTTGAACTTCATTGCCAAAGCTCTGAGGCAACCTTTACTTGCCCCCCGAAAGGCTTTGCAGTTTTGCAGCAATGTCTGGTTGAGATGTAGACAAATGTCAGCTTGTAAGCATTCTGGGAAACCCTTTAGGACCTGAAGAAAAAAAAAGAAAGAGTTTCATACTACCAGCATTCTGGGTATCTCCGCCTGAAATACAGTCTATTTCTTGCTCACAAAACTGCAGGTGTAGTCATCGTCACGCTGGAGTTCCTACAACTTTTCTACCTCGCCTACCTTAATGAATACTTGGTTTGCTAAACATGTCAGAATTTTTAACTCAAATACTTGTTCTCTGAATCAACTGCAGGCATTCAGACTCAATACAAATGCTGTCTCATTAAAATGTAATGCCTACAATTTTTCACACTGCTTCTCTTTCCCTGCATTATGTTATGTGGCATACTGTGCACAGATATAATGCAATGTGACAATTAATAAGACATAACTAATGAAAGGCGGTACAACTAGAAAGACAATCAACCTTGTAAAAGAATCTCAAGTCAATTTAGGTTGCCATTTCTGGTATACATCTTAGTTATAATTAGTAAAAATGTTAATCCTGAAATAGCCATGGTATTTGTAAATGTCACATACCAGAGTGTGCTATTAGTTTACAGTATTTGGAATATTTATGTTTCATATACACATTATGAATACTAAATATTTTGATAAGCACTGAAAATAGAGAAAGGCAAGGAGAACAGCAAAAACACTTTAAAACTGTAGTCCAATATTCTGAAGTGGAAATTGCATCAGAATTTGCAGAGCATACGTAAGCTTCTAAAGTGCTGCTGTTTTGACAACCTATTCAGGGGCTAACTAAAAACTTGTTGAACAGATTAAACCATAGCTTGTGACAACTGCTACTCAATCTGAACTGAATAAAATTATATGTCATTTTCACACAATTCTCAGTATACAATGGTTCAAAGACATTGAACTTTTGCTTCTCTGTGTCCTGCTATTTTGGGTGTTGTATGTAGATTTTAATTTTTATGTTGATATTCTCCTAACAGTACAAGCAAAATTATTTAAATATGCTTTGATGTAGAGGAATGGGACATTGTATAGCACAATTTATAGTGCAATTATGCGATTTGGAGAATTCCTATCTGTTTGGATCAATCTTGGTATGCAATATATAGTTAAAATAGAGCTAAAAGTAATCATGAATTGTTTGTAAGGCAATTCCAATGTATTTGGTTCACAGAGGAACTTCAAATTAAATCATAGGAGAAAAAAACATACAATTATTACTATTTTTAAATATTCAAGCAAGCACAAGGATCCTACTATGTATAGAATCACTTTGATGCAAGTAGTCAGACTGGCATATTATAAAGAGCATCAATAAGATACCTGAAGCACAATAATCATGATATTGTGCTCTTGTTTTCTTCACTGTATGGAGTTACTCACAGAAGTGGATAGGGAGCATTTCAGATGAAAATTCATAAACCTGAATTCTATTCATGGATTTGCCACAGGTAGACTCTTGTACAAGTCACTTTACCAATCTGTGTTTCTCTACCATAGAATGATAATCTTTGCAACATTGAATTTAGCAATAATTTCAATAAACTACTCATAAATAGTGTGCCAATTGTTAGACACATCTCATCCAGCTTGGTGATGCTATAGGAAATCAGGTTTTCATCCTGAAGAGTCTGTATTTCCTGGCTCAGGTCCAAAAGAAATATGCCTCCCCTTGATAAGAGTTTCTGGGCACTCATCTGTAATCTCTCCCCTTAACTGTAACTGTTCTGCTTGGTCTACATGACTGGATTCCTTCCAGGTTCCTTGTTTGATAGAAGACCTCTTCCACATGATAACTTGCCTAGTCTTTTCCTGCTTCTGTGTTTGGTTGCTGGAGGCCCTACCTCCTCTTTGTTGGAATCTTATATCAACTCAGCTTCTCATGTGGAACCAATTGTCTGGGTTTCTGATCACTTCTACCATTTAAACCACTTCTTTGGACTCTTTGGCAAGTGATGCTCCACTGGAGTTGAATAAATTTGGACACAGCATTCTAAAATGTTGGCCACTTTGCTTCGGGGCCAGCATTTTAGAATGTTGTGGCCAAATTTAGTTAACTCCGGTTTTGGGGTGTAGTATAAAATAACCTAGTTTATACTGGCCTCTGCATATGAATTACTTCTCCTCCCTGATGCCCACTGCTGTGGTCTCTGAATAATTCTAAGTAACCTCATGAAGATAAAGATGTATAAAGCATTACACCAAGTTAACGAATTAGGTATATCCATCTATCTCTTAAGATTCACCTGTAATAAGGTACATGAAGGCATTATATTTCACATGAGGAAGATATTGCTATGATTATAGTAGTTAGCATAAGAATCCTGAGCTACTGAGACTATAGCTGCTAATTCTGGCATTTTCCATGAAGAATCCTTAAGTAAATCTTGGAATAGAAAAATTGCATGTGTGTGTGTCTGTGTGTGTGCACACATGCTCATACACGTTTATGCAAGCATGCTTTGAGTTGGAAGAGAGAAAAGAGATAGAGATGAGATTCTCCATTTCCCTGAATGTGTTGTATGAGCTATGGGATGAGATAGGCTTAAAGAGAAGTTCTAGCTTCAACATTTACTAGTGTGACTTGGTTAAATTACTTAACTTCTCTGAAAATCAGTTGCTTTTTTTGGTGAAATTAAATTAATAACATGTATTTCACAGAGTGTGGCCACAATTTAAATGTGTATAAACCCTTCCTTGCACGAAACAATTTTTAATAAACAATTTACTTTGGGCTTCCTTTGCTTTTTCATCACAAACTTGTTGTTCCTGAAAAATTAGTATATTCTTTTTAGTTAGGAATAGAAAGGCAAAAATCTATTGTGTTTTCTCTTTGGTCTGCCTAATAGGATATTCTCCACTAAGTTTTGTGTTCTATTGCCTCAGCAGAGTTTAAATGTTTTGCTCATCATTGCATCATCAGGTTAAGAATTGTTTTTCCTTGCATCTGGCTATAATTCTTGTTTCCTGCTTCTGGCTTGTTATATGTCTTGCAATACTTGTACTTAGGTTGTCACTGTGAGTTGCCCTAAATCCCTTTTGAAATTAGGCAGTTACTAAAATCAATTTACAGATATGTTCTTGGAATTCCAATAGATTTAGAATCACCCACAGAGATTTGCGCATGTTTCAAAATGTTTTTTCTTATTAAATGTCCTCAGCCCCCAACATTCATTCTGTTGGAAGTGACACCCATTGGAAAGGATAACATCAAGTTGGAGGAGCCATAGAGCTGCTGTTGTTAATGGAGAAGATACACAGATGTTGGCATGAACTTGTCTAGGTTAAGGACTTCTTATACGGTGTTAGTCCTTAACAGATTTTCTTAACTTCTTAAGTCAGTCACACAGATCACTGAAGTAAAACTCAATAAAATTAAGAGTCGGCTGTTGAATGTCTTATTAGCTCTATAATTTTAATGGCCTAAATAAGTTAGCAGCTCTAGGATTTGGGTTCTAAGCAAAGGGACTTTAAGAGGAACAGTTAAGAGTAGGAGCTATAGTGGAATAGAGGTAGAAGTACACAAAAGTCTGAAATAAGCGGTTCACTTAAGAAGATATTTACCAGGGCACCCCTTTTCATTGGCCACAGCTGTATTGCCTCTTGGGCTTCCTATTCACTGTACTTGTTTATTTTCAGGGTTGGTTCCCTTGCTAAACTCTGACATAGAAGCTCCTTGTTTATGATTCAGATACTGGCATTTTATCAGGCTTAGCAGATCTGGCTGCAAAGAGTTTCTGTGTCAAAGACACAAGTACAAACCAGGATGCATGCTGATTTGGTGATTGTTGTATCTATTTCCACTATATTGTACATAGCTTTCTTGATTATCCAGCCTTAAAGCTTTGAAGGTACATATCACCTTCCATTGTGCATCTGCAGCCATGGTTTTACTGAGGCAATCTAATTTTAAAGACCAAGAAACACCACCCAGAATCAGTTTCATGGCCTGCAGCTTGAAATACAAGTTATCATTCTTTTAGCAAATATTTATTAAGTATCTGCTTGATATGGTTTGGATATTTGTCCCACTCATCTCACGTTGAAATATTATTCGTAGTGTCAGAGATGAAGCCTGCTGGGTGATGTTTGGGCATGGGGGTGGATTCCTCATGGTTTGGTACTGTCTTCATGATAGTGAGTGAACTCTCATGAGATCTAGTTGTTTAAAAGTGTGTAGCACGTCCCTCCACTCTCTTTCTTGCTCCTGCTCCTGTCATGTGACATACCTGCTCCCTTTTCATCTTCTGCCATGACTGTAAGTTCCTGAGGCCTCTGTGGGAGCTAACCAGATGTTAGCACTATGCTTGTATAGCCTGCAGAACCATAAGCCAATAAAACGTTTCTTTATAAATTACCCAGTCTCAGGTATTTCTTTATAGCAATGCAAGAATGGCTGAATACACTGCTATATGATGGGCACTATGCTAAGCATGGGAGCATAACAATGAATTAAACATGTCTGAAAATATATCTGGACTTCCAGCCTTTCTCTAAATGCCCAAATTAAAACAAAATATTACAGGGATAACCCGAATTTCCCACACTCTACTTTCATGTCAAATTTGGACATTTATACTATACATTTATAATACTAAATGGTTGTTCAAAGAAATTCTCAAGGTAATAATTAATTTAGGGCAAATAAAAAGCTCTAATGTCATTTTTAAAATACTGGCTTGTTTGGGGGCAGATTTAAAAAATTTCAAATTACAGAAAATTTTTTCAAGGCTGCTACAAATCCTTTATCTTTATTATAATATAATATTACTTGAATATTTTATAAATGCATTAACTCCTCTTTACTTGAATTTATGTGAATACAACTCTTCAAGACTTTCAAAATCACATCATGACTTACAAATGAGAATTTGTTCTTTTAAGTGAGTATGAAATGCTTTCTGTGATTGTTAAATCAACCCTATAGTTTAGTACCTGAGGACCCCCAATTTAAAGACATTCAAACACAAATAACCCGACAACAACAACAAAAAAGAGCATTATTAAATCATAGTAAAACTCATAAAAGGAGTCACACAAAAGAGAGCAGAAATGAA